TACACTCCCCGCCCCCGCTTCGGTGCACTGACATCCCTAGTCTTGGTGTTTAGGGTCAGGGATTTTTTTTTGTTGCATTAGGGTTTCTATCATATTGGGGCTATGGTCCCCAGCATATGGTGAGATAGGGGTTTCTTCATACCTTGGTCCATTCCACTACTATGCTGGCCATCTCCATCGTGCCACGTGGGCCTGGTGATAGAGTTATATACTAAAAGTTTACTTTTTGTAATAAAACTCGTTTTATTAATTAATAGGAGTTTGTTTGTTTTTTCATTTTATTGAGAATCTATGTGGGCAAAATGTTTGCATTATGATATACATGAATCTCTTATATTTTTCATTATAGATAATCTGGTATGTAAAGTTTAACTTATGCACATAAGACCAGATTATCAGATCATTGTATAATGTGAGTATATGTTCACAAAGATGGAATTGGACACACCATCTGTATGATTGTAGTGTAATATTCTGGCATAGTTTGTCTTGACTATAACAGATTATTTGATGTCTCAGATTATTACACTAGTATACTTTATGTATTGAACATACCCATATTGAGGTTATTATCTTTTATTGACTGAATAAGATAATAAATACATCATGATTATTATGATTGTTTATGCTCTTAATCCCGAGATATTTAATCGCAACATGGATATAATGTTTGTTACTTTAATTCACCAAAGAGTGAGATTCAGATTGAGTTAATAAACTCGTTGAATTGAGAGACGATATTATTTGTATGGTAAAAATTAATTATTAAAGGAAACTATGTCCTGATATTTAAATAGATTGATGATGTCCTCTCGAAGATTTTCATAAGTTTTGTCCATGTCAAATCTTGTAGGTGGATTTAATTATCTGATATGACGAATAAGTTGAGTGGAAATGTCTCAAGGAATAAAAAAAGTCAATTAAATATAATTGTTAATAATTTATTTAATTGATGGACATCTGTAATCTTAGACGTGAAAAAATTATTACACATCTATACTACTTATAAATGTCAGCATGTATGAAAAATTTTTGATTTCTTATTTTACCCTTAATTATTATCATAAAGCCAACTATACCCACATATTTTCCTTTCTTTCATGCCTATTTGACTTCCAAAATATTAGCTAGATAAATTTTATCTCTATGACTTAATAGATAAACTTTATCAAAATATTATCTAGATAAACTTTATCAAAATGTTACCTAGATAAATTTTATCAAAATATTAACTAAATAAACTTTATCTCTATGACTTGATATATAAATTTTATCTCTATGACCATACATTCTTTCTTTTCCATTCAATTTTACAAACTCTACTAGAATTCTAATACCACATATTAGTACTTTTTAGGTGATACATATACATATATTTTTTCTTCCATTCATGTTAGAGTTAGAAATTGGCCTGTTATAATCATTTATTTGAAATACTATAGTCTCATGCTCTTTTGTGACGAATTCAATGAAGTCGAAGTTGGAGTTTTCGGTATAATTGAAGTTAGTTTATCAATTTCTATGTTTTAGTTTATTAATTCCTATATTCTGTGGCACTTATTTTTTTTTAATTTAATTTTAAACAGTTTTTTAAGAGATTGGTATGATAGGTCAAATATTTGACATAATAATTGAGTTAGTTTATTAATTCTTATGCTTTAGTTTATTAAATTGGTGTGGCAGGTCGAGTATTCGGCATAATTGATGTTAGTTTATTAATTCCTATATTTTAGTTTATTAATTCCTATATTCTGTGGCATTTAATTTTTTTTAATTTAATGTCAAGTAGCTTTCTAAGAAATTAGTGTGGTAGGTCAAGTATTCGGCATAATAATTGAAGTTAGTTTATTAATTCTGATGTTTTAGTTTATTAAATTGGCATTGCAGGTCGAGTATTCGACATAATTAAGGTTAATTTATTAATTCATATGTTTTAGTTTATTAATTTCTATGTTTACATTAAAACTTTCTATGTTAGTATTTCTTTATTTTATTACAACATCTCGTGAATCCAATTTTTCATTGCTTATATAGCTAATATTTTGAAAGTTTGTCCAAATTTTAATACTCTGCAATCAAATTTATTAAGCTTAATTTTTCTTTGTTCATATACTATTATAGCATTATAAATAAAAATTATATATTCCAAAATTCGTTATTCTAACTATAAGAAAAAATATTTTAAAAAATAGTTCAAGTTAGGTACCACACCCAAAAAAAAACATTAATGTACTCTGTATCATGTTTTTGAGTATTTTTATATGTATTATATTTTTGAGTATTTTTATCATTTATTGGCTGAAATTTATCAAATTTTGAGGTTAAAAGATTAAATGTCTTTTTTCTTGGTATTTTAATTAGTGGAGAAGATTCTCAACAGGTTCGACATGAATGAAGCTAAACCAGTGAGTACACCCTTGGGTAGTCATTTCAAATTAAGCAAAGAACAGTCACCGAAGACAGAAGAAGAAAGGGACCACATGAACAAGGTGCCCCATGCCTCAGCTATTGGCAGTTTGATGTATGCTATGATGTGTACAAGGCCAGACATTGCACATGTAGTGGGAGTTGTGAGAAGATTCATGAGTAGGCCAAGAAAGTAGCATTGAGAGGCAGTCAAGTGGATTCTGAGATATCTGAGGTTCATCAGATACATGTCTTTGCTGCACAGGTGCAAGTTTGAAACTATATGGTTATGTAGATGCTGATTTTGCTGGTGATATTGATGATAGAAAGAGTACTACTGGGTTTGTATTTACTCTGGTTGGTACAACTATATCTTGGACTTCAAATCTACAAAAGATTGTTACTTTGTCTACTATAGACGCTGAGTATGTTGCAACAACTAAAGCTAGAAAGGAGATGATTTGGCTACATGGCTTCTTAGATGAATTGGGAAAGAAGCAGGAGATTAGTGTTCTACACAGTGACAATAAGAGTGCAATTGTTGAAGCATATATAGATAAAATACCACTTTATTCGTTATCTTGTTGAAGATAAGCGGATATTACTTGAGATGATCTGTGGATCTAAGAACTCAGTAGACATGGAAGTCCGACCCTTATTTCTCCTTAGGGTTTTTGTCATAGCCTATATATAGACATCTAGGCTCTCTAAATCAGCATCAACTTCATTATTCACATTTTGAGGGAGGTTGAGAGAGAGCAAAAATTTGGAGGTCTTTGCACCCCGCACTGCATCCAAATTTTGGTGTTTGAAGATGTACGGCAGAAGATCGTGAGACTATCAATAATTCTTGGGACTTCCATTCCAACACTTGGGTCGGCAGACGTAACACAACCACTTCCTTGTACCTTTGCCACTAACGATTCTTGATTCATGGACTTCTTTGGGTCTTGACGAATGAGTGTTGATTTCGCTATTCCAACCGCTCCTAAGTATCTGTCTGGATTGGATGTTAATGCAGTGGTTAAGTTTTCCCCAATTTTCTCATCGCTGCATATAGATGAGGCTTATAGTGGATTTGCTCTTCCATTGGAGGAACCTTAATGCATTTTTTATTTGTCATGACTTAATTGCCCACAATTATAGCAGAAGTTGCTCAATCTTTCATATCTTAGATCAATCCTTTGGTTTGGGAGACCTTTTCTTGGGAGCTAGTAAAATATTGTTAACGATTAATTGAGGTCTACCATTACTCTTGTTCTGAGGTAATTTTTTCATATGGATTTCTGGGTGAGCATGATTTGGTGTTCCATTGGACTCCCTAATGCTTGGACAACAATGTAAGCATTTTCCCCTGTAATTAAGTCCAGTGGAAACTCGTGGGCTTGAATCCAAAAAAGGGAGTGGCTAAAATCAATCACTAAGACTAGAGTATTTGATAGCCACAATTTGAGCATTAAGAGACGACCCTTAACTGACCATGGGCTTTGATTCATTACCCATTGCTTTAATTCTTCTATAACAAAGATGAATATGAAAATGTCCTGCTCTCCATCTTTGATTTCCACAAGGTTCGTGGCTTTCCAAGCTTTTGTGAGTATAAGTTTGACTGCGTTTTGATTAATGGGGTTTTTTGAGAACGCTTTCCCAATGAGGGATGATTGCTTTTTGAAATTTGTTGTAGATTTATCAAACTGTAACTCTATTGGGAGGGGTGGGTGCTGGTTTTATATGTGTTAAGAGACTCTATTTAACATGGGTTTGAATATAATTGTTGATTTGTGGAGGTTTGTGTGATTGGTATAGGTGTTAATGTTTATATGTTTAATGTTTGTCCTACATCAATTAGACTAGGATACTTTTCTATTCTCTTGTACTACAACTGCACATCCTCATGTATATGAAAAATACACCAAAGCAACATACATTTGCTATTCATTTTCTATCATCTTCTTTCACATGGTACAGAGCCTAGGTTCGTTAATCTTTCTGGCCAAAGATAATATACTCTATGATTCCCCTCTGAGGGATCCTCCACATCAGAACTCTTAAGACTCTTCCTTTTTCGACCATCCTCCAATGAACTTTTGATCTGTTTTGGCCACACTCTGGGGAACTTCCGATTTGCTCTAATCATCCTCCGACGACCTTTAGGCCATCCTCCAACATCGTTCTTATATTCCCTCGACCATTCTCTGGCGAATTTTCGATCATCTTTTGATGACATTCCGATTGTCTACGGGGTCATCCTCAAGCGACTTTTCGATCACCTCTCGGTCATCTACTGGCGACTTCCGTTGTCTTCTGGCAACATTCTGGTCTCCTCTCAGCTATTCTCCGGCGACCTCCAACTTCGGTAACTTTTGTATCACCCTCCTGCGACCCTCTGATGAGCGATTCAAAATGGTCTACCTCCATTTGGAAAACTCACTGGCTCCCATTGGACATGAGGCTTTTTTAGTAATTATAGACTACATCAATGGTCTTTGATCCACATCCTTAGCCGAAACAAAAAAAGTCCGTGCATTTCGACTTGCCCTGACCAGTTTTTTGTGCTCGTTCTAAACTCGTCAGGTCCATTCCGTAATCTGGTCATGGTTGCTACACTGTCTAGCTGTTCTACACTAGCCACTCTCACTGGGATAACTTCTTTGTGTTCTCTTACTACAGCTGGCCTCGAGGCAATTGTGAACAAGGTTTTAATCTCATTCTTCTCCTGCCTTATCAGTTTCCTTAGATAAATCTTCTCCTTGATTTATTGACTCAGCCTGTGGCAATCATATGATATCTAATTTTTCCTTGGTGTCTCATAAGAAGTCTTTAAACTCTATGCCTTATATATATATTGCTAATGGTTCACACATGTCTGTTACTCACGTTGGTCCTATTTCTACTCATACACTTTCTGTACCCGACACATATGTTGTTCCTATCCTATCTATAAATCTTCTTTTTGATGGTCAACTTGTTGAATGTGATCTTATCTTAACATTTTCTCAAAAAATGTGTGATTTACAGGATTAGAAGACGGGTCAGCTCGTTGGGGCTGGACGTAAAGTTGGTTGTCTTTTTGTGCTTACATATTTGCATATGCCTAACTTATGTTCTATTCAACCTCTTGTTGTTGCTGTGTCTTTTAGTAGTTGACACTCTCGTTTTGGTCATGCATCTTTACCTCGTGTTCTGTCTTTAGCTTCTAGTGGTTGTTTAGGAAATGTTACATTTGAATTATTTGATTGTAAATCTTGTCAATTGGGCAAACAAAAAACTTAACCTTTTAGTAGAAGTAAATCTTTGTCTTTTGCACCTTTTGATTTGGTTCGATTATGATATCTGGAGACCTGCTCCTATCTTCACTAATGTTGGGTCTCCATTAAGGTCCTTACATAGGGCCCTCAATTTTAAGGGGTCCAATTTAATTTTTATTTGTTTGTGAGTCAATATTTAATTTACCACTTAATTGCAAAAATGTATTTAGTATAAAATATTTTGTATAAAAATATTTTTTTTAGATGACAGAAATGCTTACAAGGTAACAATTATTTGGCGTAAAGAGTAGAATAAGGAAACTGCCATAAATCATGCAACAATTCCATTAAATTTGACAACTGTTATATCCTTCAGAACATGAGTTTTCAAATTTAAAACAAATCTTCCACAAAATCCATCAATTTTCAAAAAAAACAAAAAAAAAACACAAACGTTGAAGCACAATTGAAGACCGATATTCTTTTTGCTCCGATTCAAATTATTGATAATGTGACATTAAAGTGATATATGATAGTATAATACCTTCATTAATAATTTAGTCATTGACAAAAAAGTTTTGAATTACATTTACTGATTCATACATAATCAAAATAGTATGCATCACATAATGCGACATCACAAACGTGACATCCATATATATCGCTTTTAATGAATAATAGTATTATATCACAGTGTAACATTATAAATTGTCACTATTGTTAGATTTGAGAACAACCATAATTGTTTAACATTAAAAAATAATATAAAAAAATAAATTTCAAAATTTGGGTCAAGCCGTTAAAATAAATTCCACGTGGTATAATTTTGAATTTTAAATTTTGAATTTTAAATATGTTCAGTCCCTTAAAATATAAAACTATTAATATAATAAATCAAATCCCATAAAAAATAGAACTATAAAAATAACAGACCTTCAAATAAGAAAAATAGTATTTTAATAAATAAAATATTTAAAAATTTGTCAATGAGTACCTAACTACAATATATTTGAAGTCAAAGGTACTTTATCTAGAAAAAGATTTTAGTCAATATATTTTCTCACAATTAAGTAGTTTAAAAGGTATCTGCTCACAATTTTTCGTTTAATTTTTAGCTCCAAGTCTAATAATTCCTAGACAACAAAAAAAAAAAAATAACTCTCATGAGTAGAAAGATCCAATATTCTGAAAGTCTCTTTACAAAATTTTTAAAAGAGCAAGTCCCTTTTTTTTGTGTTTTTTCCCGGATATAACTATGGGCCCATTTTTGATTTATTTTGGATTACTTTAGATGTCCTTTTCAAAACTTATTGTAATCTCTCATACGATTTGTTATGTAACAAATGTATTTTCTAGATTGTTTCTTCCAATTCTCAATAAAGGAATTGATTTGATTCATGAAATTTTAATTTTCATGATTAATACAACACAAAAATCTAATAATTTTTTATTTCTTACGGTTATGACAATGTATCAATTGTTGAATTTATAAAGCAAATCATTATAAAAGAGACATTACAAGAAAATATCATATTGTTTTGATCTCATAAAAAAATGACACTTTGAAATAGAAATTGAATCGATAATTTATATAAAAAAAACATAAAATTCATATTTCATTATATTGAAAAGTAGGATTTCCAACTTAGCTTAGCACAATTACGACCCAGATTATTTAGATCTAATTGCTTATATTACAAGTTAGATTTTAACTTTTTAATTATAATAAGTCTGTTTGGAATGAGCTAAAATTCTCAATTTTTTTGTGGTTTTATAGGAAAAGAAGTCTGATTAGACCCAGACTTATTAGATGACTTTTCTATCTGTTTTTGGGGCAAAAATAATTTTTATAAGCACTAAGAAAAAACTGAAAATAGAGCTTATTCAAAGTCTTCTAAGAAAAAAAATTAATTTTTTTAAAAAAACTTCAAATAGTTTAAAAAAAAAAATTAACTAATTTTTTTTATTTTACTTTTCAAACCTGTGTTGTGCACTCAAAAAGTCAGCTCCAAGTGAACCTAATAACTCATCTAAATTTTAGCCTTTTAATCATATTAACTTAATAACCCATTTAAAATTTTAACCTTTTAATCATAATTTATATTTTAATTTTTTAATCACAATTTATATTTTGACTTTTTGCTAAATAATTTTCAACTTATCTATAAACCCAAAGCACATGCCTCTCCGGGCAAACTTTTTGCCAACCGTCGATAAAAATAATGATCGGAAATCGAGGTGGGTATTGGGAAATTTTCAGAAACCACGTAGAAAGTTAGAAACTACACTACCCATCGGAATAAAATATGGACAAAAAGTCAAAATTGGCTAGAGCGCTTTGACAAAACTAAAAGAAACTCACTTCTGGGTTCTCCACGATCTTCACCATCTGGGTTACTTCCTCAATTCAAGGGCTTGCTTCACTCTCTCTGTCTTCGGTCTGCTTCAGGTGACTCTCTGACTACTGGGAAGCTAGGACTGAAAAAAATTCGGATTATAGAAAGAGACGAAGATAAAAGCTTTCTTCGTTTTGATTGTGTTGTTGTTTGGGTTGGGTGGACAGAAAAATGTTGAAAAAGTCAGACTTTCTGATTCTGTAGCTCTGTTTCTTCAAAACCCTCTTATCATAATTATCTGTAAGTCCTTTGAGTTCCTTCACCATCCACCTCTTTTTATCTGTGTTGGGGGTCTTTTGGGTGGGGGCCCAGGTATTCAAATTTATGGTTTGGGGATAATTTGCTTTCAATTCCTTTGGTTAACCCATATATATCTTGGAATTTTAGAGGAAATTATATGGGTTTTGCCGCAAATTTGAGTTCAAGTTTGATTTGTGTTTTGTTATTTTGAAAACCCATGAGTTATGTATATAATTTTAAGTGAAAGAGCTTAGAACTTGAGTTGGTTAGGCTATATCTGATTGAGTTCTCCACTGGCCAAGTTTATTTTTAGTATCTCTTGGTGTATGTTTGTCGCATCAAGTCTGTTATATGACTTATTTGTTAATGAGTAAATACTATGCCAATTCACAGTTTTGAAGTAATTAGATCTGATTAAGTATTGTGAATTGTGATAGCATCAAATTTTACGGAATGTATTCCTTTTTTTTTTCACTAGAGAGATATAATGGCGTATTACTCTTACATTTCTTTGTCCGTGCTATTATCGTAGTGCATGAGTTTGCTTGCTCTAAACAATTTTGATGAAGAAACTGAGTGTCCCGCCAATCAGAACATACAAATAAAGTTTGAAATGAAAACCATATTGAAAACTTTTAGAAGTATTATCTGGGATGAAATTTTTCTTTATTGCTTATCCATCTGTGGAAAAGTAAGAGTATGTGATGGACTATTGTAACAAATTTTAAATTTGCAAGTCTTCTACAAAAATTTAATTTGCAAGAGGTAGATATGAAAGCTTGAAATTGCACGGTCTACTTAACGTGAGAAGTTTGGTATCTTCTAAGGAGTCTCAAAAAATTAAAGACAGTTTTTTTAATTGTAGGGAATAATTAAATCGATATGTTAAAATCCGAAATTCTGATAGGAGAAAAATGTTTGAACAAATCTTATATGTCTCTTCTGTGTGGTTGAATATGTTCTTTGTAGAGGTGCCGGAGCCTAGGCGTTTTGGGCATCAATGCATATATGAACGTTGAACTTGTGATATAGCCATTTAATTGTGTTTACACAAACTGTAGATCAATTCCAAAGTCTTTCTGATAGTTATTTCTTCTATATCAACTATACATTAGCAGATGGTTTGACGTTTTTACAAATTTGATGACTTATGGGTCTGAGTTGTATAGAGAGCAAAATATTTTCTGCTAGAGCTTCTAGCAAATGTATTCTCACTATGCACTTAGCACTCAGTCTAGTATAGAATGGGCCTAATGGTATACTTTTCTCCTTCAGTAGGATAGGACTACTAAAAAGAATTGTTCCAATCCGGTTTTAAAAATGTCCTACTGAATTCACATACACAATTTGCATTTATGTGGCCCCTGTTTCACATTCTTAGATCAATGATGGCTTAAGTTGCTGGTCCAGAATGATACTGGGCATTTGATGTAGCCATTGAGCATTTGAATTTTGAATCTTTGAGAGGGACTCCCTCCAATTTATGTTATGTTCCTATGCAATGCATTGCTTTTTTATCCTCAAGATTATATTTCTGACTGAATAACATACTTGTTCAATAATATGATGACTTTAGTTCTTTTTCTTGTTGTCATTCCTTTTAATGAAGATCCTGCTACTGATTTAACAAAGTCAAGTGCCAGCCAAGTGGTTCTGAGCTCTCTATTTTGAGTCTCTCAATGAGGTGGACTAATTTCTTATACGTCTTTCCATTTCAAGTTTTCTTGCTTTTGGTTCAGTCAGTTGTGAGAACATTTTTTGTACTTGCTGATGATTAAAATTTATTATTGTTGTCTTTGAAGAGTCAGTTGGCACTTCTATCTGCGTTAAGTTAATGTGCAATTAGACCTTTGCCGCCAGCACAGAGTAGTCAACAACCAAATCTAGTTCCCAGATTAAGGGCCCTACTTGAGAATTGTAGAGAATCCACAATGACGGATGTCAGTCCCAGGACTGATACTTCGACCGATGGAGACACTGAAGATAAGAATGTAAGGGTGATGTCTACTCCCCTTTTCAACTTTTTAGTTGCATCACTCTGTACCTCTATGTATTCTTGACAGTATTTTTTTATGCAGTTTCAAAGCAATCCATTAGCAATTATTGGTTCTGATGGCAGCGACAAGTCAAGAGATCAAAAGGTTCATTGTTTGCACTAATTATACTTGCATATCTGATCGACTGTGGTGCATTTTCTTTTTCTTATTGAGTTGTCATTATGCAGACGCTTCGCCGGCTTGCTCAAAACCGTGAAGCTGCAAGAAAAAGTCGTTTAAGAAAAAAGGTATGATTCCTTTGTAAAGAAAGCTAGTATTCCACATCGAATGATTATTATTGTCTACGTAGTTATTCCATGCAAATAATGATTTTTCTTGTTTCATATCTAATATTATATGTATTATCTATCATTTTAAACAATACTTCCTATTCTAGGCCTAAAATATCAAAATCTTTTTTTTTAATCTTTACACATGTTGACATTAATGCGTGGTATGTGCGAAGTCAGCCTTAGATATCAATTTACTTCTTTTAGACATGGTTTTATCTTTTTAATGGTATGTATATAGTTCTTAATTCATTATCCTATGGAGAAGTAATTGCACACTATAGTGCGACACTATTAGAGTAGTACACTATGGGCTCGTTTGGTTACCATATTTTAAAAGAAATGATTGTATTAGGCAATCTAGGCTAATTCCATATAAGAGGATAAAATACAAGATTAAATGGGTACTACCCATTATAATCCATATTTTGGAAATACATTGGATTAACAGTGAGATAATAACTATCCAGTCCAACCTTGCATGGTTAGTTTACTTATCCCATTGTACATATTGCACATTGACTAAAAAACTATCAATTCAGTCTGGTTATCCATATTTCTATTTATTTGATGAATAAAGTAGTAAATTTATAACCTAATAAGGTTGAACTGGATTATAATGCAACCTCTTCACGTGGTATTAAAAATGGCTTAATAGTATGAGTAGAGCGTATTATTTGTATACCTATTTTATATGTATATAAAATTGGCCCATACATAATACATAGTATTTTTTAATGACCAAATATATAAAGTTAGATTAGAGAGTTTTAATTTGTTATGACTCCTTAATCCATCCCTTGCTACTGTTAGATGGTATTATTGTTTCTATGTGCAGTTTATGGTTACGATTTTGGTATAGGGACTAACCTTTATCTTAAAAAATATTAGAGGTTGCTTTTTGCATTTGATGTTTCTTCGTTGAATTTGGGTGTTATCGTGCTTGTTATGAAATTTTGCATAATTTCCTGCAAAATTGTTCCAATTTTGCTTTAATATTTCTTAAACTTTCCCTGAATGAGCATGATCTTTAAATTTAAACCTTCTCCCTTATCCTGGATGGTCATAGACCTTCATTTTATCAACTAATATCTCTATTTTTCCCTTCTTTGAATTGGTTATTCTTATGGAACAGGATTAGTAGAGAGAGGAGAAGGATATAACAACAGTGAACAAGGCTTGTTCAAAAGACTAACAATCATAATTTAGTAGAAAAAAGCACTACATATTTTTGGCAAAGATATTGCACTGAACAATCTCTTAAGTTATGAACTTCTCATGGATGCAGAATCACACAAGATTGGGGAAATCGGTACTAGTCTCTTTTGGGATGATTTGTTGAGAATAGATGTGATATGCAGCGTAACAAGAGGGGGAAAGAACACATGGAAGGTGCATACAGTTTTGGTATGAGGGTTAAGGTACTTATTACTAGATGTCTACCTTGTAACTTGTTGCACATCCTTGGCTTGCCAGCCTGTGGAGAGAGGGGGTTGAGTAAGTGATGTAGGACGAGAGAAAGAAAGAGATCAAGGGAGAAGGAGAAGAGAGGGTAAAAATGGAGGAAAGGGGAGAAAGATAAGAAAGGAGGGAAAGGACAAAACATAGATGAAAAAGAAGAAGAGAACAAAAGAGAAAGAGAGGGAGTGGGAGTGGGAGATCCAATTATTTCAGTAATTCCCAATAGCCAAAACTATACCCCTCATTGCAATACTCCTATATAGGAAGTCCATAATGTAATCAAACTTATAACTACATCAAATTTAATAATCGAAAGTGATATTTCATATAGAATAATAGTATAATACTATTCAAAAACCCAGAGTTCAAAAAAATAATTCCCAAATTCAATTCTTGAATGCGAAGCTTTATCTAATCCCTTCTACTACTCATTCCAAAGGGGAGGACGTGGAGATAGAGTTGCCTGAGATGAATGTGTATTCTTTGCCCAGGACATATGGGGGAAGCTTTAAATGGATATAATAAAAGCACTAGGAACTGGTTAGATAGAGGATGAGCAAGAATGTAATTCTTACTCTCCAGATTTTGTATACAGGATTTGATTTAGGTTTAGATGGGGGTTAACTAGTTCACGAAGTAAATTAATTCATACAAGATGGGGTACACTTAACTTAGATGAATGTCTTACTATGCCCAGAAGATATGGAGGACAGCTTGAGCTTCTAAGGTGGAATGAATAGACTTGTTGCGGGGGTGTTTAGCAATTGGGTGCAGGGATAAACCGATGTTTATAAGCAGTCGACTTCAAATTAACAATTTAATTAATATATACATATATATAATAACTAGACTGAGAAACATAAAGTAAATCCTAAAATTTTAATTCTACATTTCAACCGGAAGCTTTATCCAATCCTTATGGGGTCCCTTTTTCTCAGAGAGTAGGATATGAAAATAGAGTTATTTGAGGTGAATGTATTTCTATGCACGGGAGATATCGAGAAGCTCATGATTGTGAAGTTTAAATGAATGGACTGAAGGAACATGGGAACTGGTTATGGGGAGGATTGGTGAGAATGTAATGTTATGGTTCAAATTATCAGTGGATATCGGTGCTACTCAACTTCTGTTTCGATTATGTTCCATGTTTTCTATAAACCACGAGTCTCATGCTTTTCATTTGAGACTTTGAGTTCTCCGAGTAATTTTCATTTAATCAGACGATACTGTTTCCCAATGCTGTGACACAATCTAAGTCTCTTATTTAGCCTTTTCTTCTATCTAGCAATTTGTGCAACTCCTGACACCCTTTCTTAATGTTGCGATCAATGTGTCTTAGTGTAATCAAAGTTGAGGGCCGATACAACGACCTTAAATCCTGATGTAATTTTTTTTCTCCAGAATTTATGAACAGGGTTTGAATTGGAGTTGGTTTTGTGGCTGAGTAGTTTACCATGTAAAATGATTCATCAAGGATGGCCTTTGTGATTTAACAGCCAGTCAACAATGTGTGCAGTTCAACTGTCTGGGTTTAAGTCATTTTGCAAGAGGAAGGGGGTTCATGGGGGAGATGTGTTGGGGATATATTGGACCACAAAGCGGACTAATCCACGTTTCTAGCAGTTTAACCAGACAGTCTGGTCCTGTCATTGACTCTTGGTTACCTTTTATGCATCCCTAGTAATATGCAACATATAATATATACATATGGACCATATTTGTGTGAGATAATGTATAACTTGGTTCTATGCCAAGACAACTTATGTTTAGGAGACCTAGGTTCAAGTTAGACAGGCCATAAGGCACGAGTCCTCCTGTTGGCCGCTACACCCTTTCCCCTGTAAGGACCATTCGTCGTTGTAAATTTTGTCATGATGCCTTACCATAAGAGCTCCCAGATGGAAAATTATGTTCTAATCTTGAAATTTATTGCTTTGAACATTTACCTTGGTGCTAAAGAAAAGTAATATGTGTTAATTCATCTTCATTAAAATAAGATGAATATGGATTACTTGTCCCCATCACTTATTGCTTCACTGAGAAAAATTAAATGTAGTAAGTTTAAGGCACAGCTTAAACATGCTTGCGCTTATATGTTCTATCATTAATTGCCGTATTTTCATGCATTTTGTTTGTTCCTATATAGATTATTTTATTGTATTTTTCATTTAGTTGTGCCTTATTTCCTTTTCTTGTTACTTAGGCTTATGTACAACAGTTAGAGAGCAGCAGAATGAAGCTGACCCAACTTGAGCAGGAACTCCAACGAGCTCGGCAGCAGGTTGGATATGACTACTCATTCTTACTGCCTAAATAGTTCTTGTTCTTTCCTTTGAGTTCCAGCACCACCGTCTCCTCCTTTTTTAATGAATACTTTATTTCTCTGAAGGGCATCTTCATTTCAAGTTCAGGAGATCAATCTCAATCCATGAGTGGAAATGGTAGGGCCGTCTTCTTTTAAGTTCTAATACTCGTTCTCTTACATTTGAAATGAGAATTTTCTGATTTTAGAATTATATATTAGAGCATCGTGAGCTTTATTATTCACAAAAGGATGATTCGATATTATTGCATCGGTGATATTTTCACTCATTGTCGAAATTCTACAGAAGCTAGGCCAAAGTACACATCTGTAACTCCGTCTCATCGTTGGGCCCCGTGACCCCTCCACCCAAAAAAAAAAAAAAAAAAAAAAAACAAAAAAGGGAGGAAAACATAGACAAATTGTCTGGTTATTCTTCTCTTTGCAATATGTGCACATAAGAGTGGTTAAGAAACTGTCAGTTTCATGGCTCATTTCATGTTTGATACAGGGTTGTTTGTCCTTTGCCTGTGATTTGCTTAAATTAGTCATCGGGTTAACTATTTTCTGGATGTGGCCGTGCCCAACAACTTATTGTGTCATTATCTATGATGTGACTCCCAATGGTGAAAGCTTAATTAGGATTAAGGTGGTTGTTTTGAAATTGCATTTTGATTATTTGATATATTCACTTGTATTGTTTGTATTGTGACCTGACGTTGAACTAAATGATTATGTGAGAGAACGGTTTGAGTTTTCCAAATTTCTCCTCCCTCTACATGAAAAGTCTTCCCAAGTTGAATCTCTGAAGTGTAACAACCAGCTTGTTGAGCACCAAAGATAAACTTTTAATGTCATTTTTGTTAGTCATACCTGTTGTGTGTGTCACTTTGTTTAGTTCAACTAGCAATAAATCTTCCTTTGTTTAATGAAAACCAATACATGAAGCTTACTCCTGGAAATATAAATCCTATGTTAGAATACTAATAAGAAAAAGCCCACTTCCGATTGATCTATTGCATCTTTGATTGAGAGAAAATTTGTTAACCTGCACCTACTTGCACAACCATGCACCATAGAAATTGGCATGCAGTATAATATTAAACAGCAGTGAAAAGGAAGAAAACAACACAGAATGTAGTGTGATTTTGTCTCGAGGTTGAGAGGAGGATGGTGGGATGGATGCTAATGGATCTTGCTTTCATTATTTGGGTAGTTGTCTTACAGTTTTCTGTGACAATTCATCCAATTTTATGCATCTCAGCTGCAGATCTTAGAAGCTGTTACAATTTTCTGTATATTGACTTTAAGTTCCAGGAATAAGAATGAACTAATAACCTCTTCATGCTCTAGGAGCCTTGGCGTTTGATGTAGAATATGCAAGGTGGTTGGAAGAACACAACCGACGTATTAATGAGCTGAGAGGAGCTGTCAACTCTCACGCTGGTGATGGTGAACTTCGCATAATTGTGGATGGCATCTTGGCACACTATGATGACATTTTCAGGATAAAAGGAGATGCTGCAAAGGCTGATGTCTTCCATATTCTTTCAGGCATGTGGAAAACACCAGCAGAGCGATGTTTTTTATGGCTTGGTGGATTCCGTTCATCTGAAGTCCTTAAGGTGAGGGCTGAACTTCATGTTTCATTGGCTTTCATCATGCGTCCCAAACAGATATAGTTCTTTCTCTTAGAGGAGTGTGTACTTTTAAGGGCACATTACAGTGTCACACTCCGTCAGTTATAATGAAACCTTCTACTAGGTTTTAAAAGAAAAATTGACATGGGCCACAGTCAGATGGTGTTGCCCTCCATTTCTTTTTCAGTAGTCATAGAGGAAGTTTTTTGTGGTGCTTATGTTTTTCCATACTGCCATAATTTTAAATGGTTTTAAGTATGAAATATGCATCTTATATTGTGACTCCAAGGTTAGCTTGTGTCGATGGTGTGGTAAAGCCTTTAAAGCCTCTTTTTTTGAACATGGAATTCAAGTTTTAACTCTGGATTGTGATATTAGGTTCTGATGGAGATTTGTAGTCCTCTCTCTCTCTTTAGTATGGAAGTATGGCTTGGATGAAGGACCGTACGCACTCTCTTGGACTTTTTCTTTCTTTTCCTCTTCTTCCTTTGTTTCTCAATAATGATTCAGAAAACATTATTATTAAATGTGTTTGACTGGGCCCTAGAAAGTACACTATTCCTTCTAGAGTTATTTGATGTGGACACTCAGATATGGTCACTTTTGTATTTTGTAAAATATTACCAATTTTATTGTGTGGTTTAGGTTGTTACCTTAAAATTTGTTAGAAATAGTTATTCAATCTATATTAAAATGCTTCTTGTAAATTTTGAATGTTCTGGGACCTTTTCTGATGCCTTAGCAGTCCTCCTGAGAAGATAAAGGGTTGGCATCTTGAGGGGAAAAACTATAAATCTAGACTGACAAAGAATACTGAGTTCCTAAGGAACTTTGAGCTCTCTGTTTCTGTTTCCTTCTGTCCATCTTTTTTTTCTCATGATGGAGAAACTTGGAGATCTGCTTTTGCACTATTGCAGATGTATTTTCTTTTCACCTCATCTCCTGTGATCAAAAGGCCTAGATGATCGCTTTGAGCATGCTCATGATTACTGTTTTTCCAGTTCTATGGATTATTGCAGTTGAGGAATAACTGGTAACTTATTTTTACCCAAGGTTAATGAAAAGTATGAGATTTGTTTAAGGTCTCAATTGTGGATTTGTTTAACATATAAGTCAAAGATTTCATTTCTGTTCAAATTAGGGTGAGTTTTTGTCTTCATACGAGTACTGGATAATTAATTTTACCTGTTGGTGTCTGGGAGGTCCACACATTACATTGAGGCACCAAATCTGTTTTGAAGTAATTTCTCAGAGCAAGATAAAGAATATGAGCTATTTAAGACTGTAGACGCATTAATATTTGTCAGTTTCTTACTAATCTTTTGTCTGTGTGTGTATGAATTGCTAGGTTGTCTTTGCATTGGTAGTCTTGAGCCAGATACAGATTTTGTGTATGCCCTGCCGTAAACCTTTTTGAAATAGTGGATTTGGATGCAACAACCTTTTGTAGATCCTACTGCTTTTGTGCACTGCTTCCTTTACTGCATCAAAGAATGCACTCATGTTTCATTTTGGGTTTATTTTGCTACATACTGGGTAATTTGCACGTCTTTACACATTGACCTTTTCTTTTGTTTTTTTGGGGTTGAGGTATGTCGAATTTCTTTTTGTTTTTAGTTTTTCTTAAACATATCCATGCACTTTCTTAAGCATCTTTTGTACGACTATATTCTTTTGTTATTCTTGTCTGTACTATTTTGTTGCTTGTTTTATTCTGAAATTCTTGTACCTGCATGATTGCAGCTGCTTATAAATCAGTTGGAGCCTTTAACCGAGCAGCAGTTAATGGCCATTACTAACTTGCAGCAGTCATCGCAACAGGCAGAAGACGCCTTGTCACAGGGAATGGAGGCTTTGCAGCAGTCATTGGCCGATACTTTGTCTGGTTCTCCTGGCCCCTCAAGCTCCTCAGGGAATGTAGCTAACTACATGGGTCAGATGGCTATGGCAATGGGAAAGCTAGGAACTCTGGAAGGCTTCATTCGCCAGGTAATTCTTCAAACAGTTCCTGTCCTACTTTGTGGAGTTTCTCTCTGTTTTTTTTTTTTTTGTAACTTATTTAATTTACGGTTTGGAGGCCTTGGCATCGATGGCCTGCATACCTTGTTGCATGAACTCTCTCTCTCTCTCTCTCTCTACCCCACTTGTTGATGGTCTTTGCATAAGCAACATAAAGGTGATACAAGACACTGTTTAATCTCAGGCTGACAATCTGCGGCAACAAACATTGCAACAAATGCATCGTATATTGACAACTCGCCAATCAGCTCGTGCCCTTCTGGCTATCAATGACTACTTCTCTCGGCTTCGAGCTTTGAGCTCTCTCTGGCTTGCCCGGCCCCGTGAATGAGAAGCAGATCTCTTTTTCTGATACTTGTTTTGGAAGATGATGGGTCTTGTCTAGTGTTCTCTAGTGCCATATATGAATTGGGATTCTGGTTTAATTGTTCCCATTCCAGATTAGATACAGCTTTTTGTGTAACAGCTTGAGTCCTTGGGCAATTTTAGTGCTGGGATCTTCTGTATGTTGCAATGGTGCTGAGTCCGGCCTCTCCAGCATGTATTATCCCCAATGTGTATTAACTTGTTTTTCTTTTTTCTTTTTTACTTAGCGCAGCTATGGCAGTTATTGTGTCATGTGGTTGTCATCATAAATCAATAACATTATAGTCAAGATTCTTGGAACTAGATTTTAATTGTAGAACCACAGTCTAGCTGGTACTGCTCTTGCATTTTTAAGTTACATCTACATTTGCTCTCCCTCTGTGTGTGTGTGTTTCGAGTTTTGTCAATTCTGATCAAGGTCACTCACTCAGTCTCTTTGGACTTGGTGGCACAGGTACAGATAACAGATCCATGTGTGTGTGTGTTACACACTCGGATACTTTTCCAACCTACGTCAATCCCCTCATTTCATGGTTCACTCCTAATTCAAATGGATCCAACCGCTGAAATTGTTGTAAATGTAGAAACAAGGATACAACAGGTTGTAGGGCGAGACATTATCAAACTGTGTGGCAGTGTTAACTAAATAATCTTTTGAACTTTGATACATTAAGATTCACCCCGAGTTGATTATCATGGACTCGAGCTCGATTGAGAGGTTTGAGTTCTTAGTCAAGTTTGGCATTAACTTCTAAATTATACGTTCAGATTCAACTTGGTATGAAAGTTCAAATACCAGAAAAGGCTAGATACAGAACAAGTTGTGCGATCAGAGAGAGAGCCCCAACTGCATTAGGTTGGCATGCTGGAAAAAAAAAATTGATTAAATATCTCTGGCACAAAAAAAAAAAAAAAAAAAGACATAAAATACTACATACCAGAAATAAATAAAAACAATAACTTGTCCACAAAATTTCCGAATACTAAGACTTATTTCCAGTACACTAAGCTGATTAACATGAAGAAAAGACCCATGCAAAACCCAGCCTGCCAATGAATCAGTAATCAAACAGAGTAGCTAATCCGACCAATATGACAAATACAAGAGGTCCTAGGATGCAAAAGCTCTCCAAGGTTTTTTCGCACTTACGTTCACTAGGACCAGCATTCCGAACTTGTCAACCTCGCAGTTCATCAACCCTAACGTTCCATGAACACACTGGCTGATGTGCCTTAGAAAGTTCGCGGTCAAGAGAGAAGGGCTGCCATACTCAAAAAAAGTGAGAAACCACATAACATCCGAACCTAAAGCATTACTACTTGCTGCCTGGTAAGCCAAATTTCATACCCTTCTGATTTATACAAGTGAGCACGATTTCTTCATTGTGCAAACCCTAAGACGATAACAATTACTGTTTCTAGTCTTAACAACGGTTTGATTCTATGGATACGATTTGGCATTTGACAATATTGGCCACAGCTCAAACACAACCCATAGTGCATATAGCTTCAGCCTCATACCCTAGAACTACTAAGAAGCTTAATTTTTTTTTTTTCACAATCCTGCTCTTCTCTCAGCATGATGTCAAGAATATTATTTAACTGAACTGAAATAGGTATCTTCTCTTATCATTGGTGTGTCTAGCTAAAATGCTTCTAACTGATTTCAAGTTGTCGTTCACTATTCAAGGGAAAGGAATTGTAGGCTGCTATTGATATATTAAGCAACTAGCAAAGAAACCACAATAAACATGCGGCAAATGACAACATCCAAGTCATGATAAAAAATATGGATCACCAGGGCACCCAATTAAATATTATATGATGTAAACACTAAACCAAAGCTAATATTTCTAGAACAGTAAGAACATTTCTTCGACAGGACAAAGCTACTCTCCCATTCAAAGTACCTTCTAATTCCTTTCAAAACAATTCTACCACAAATTTAGGTGGGACACCTAACGTGAAGTGAGTCCCCAAACTTAAAAATGGAGAGGAGCCAAACACTATTAAACAATACAACTTAAGAAAAATATATTCCGCATTTATCCTTTTTCTTGAAATTACAACTTATAACTCTAATCCTAACACAAAGGTAACGAAACAAATCATCCCCAAAAAAATCAGTAATGTCACCAAATATCATCATCAACAATCATAAGCAAGCAAGTCCTCCAGTTAGTGTTAAGTCTCACAAGGAAAATTAAAATCACTTTGTTTAACATTTGAACCAAAAAAAAACCTAGAAAGTCAGGAAATGCAATATAAGTCTAATCACATTTTGTACTTACTGCAGCTGGCCTTCACACTTTCCGGTATTTTGCAATCTTGAGCAGTGAAATATATGCAATTCAAAATCATAACAATTATATCTATTTGCAGATAGAGGAACACAAAAATTAGACACCAACACTTGATTCATTCTAACCACATTTTGTACTTACTGCAGCTGGCCTACACACTTTCCAGTATTTTGCAATCTTGAGCAGTGAAATATATACAATTTAAAATTATAACAATTATATCTATTTGCAGATAGAGGAACACAAAAATTAGACACCAACACTTGATTCATTAAAGGTGAACTTATCTTCAAGGAAAATACAATTTGTGAATCCTTGCCTTCCTTCCCCACACCCCACTTCCTTCTCGATTTTGTTTCTTTGGCCTTTTTTTTTGGTCATTTTTGAGTGTTCCTTTGTTTTTTCCCAAGTTATGGGGAATGGGAGGTTGTGGCCGGTCAGACAGACTGTATTTATCCATGGAAACTACCTACCTTCAGTGACTGTATCGATACAAGTACAGCACTCCGAAACAAATTATACCCCAAATGAATCAAATAAAATAATTTTAAAAAATATCTGTCCAGCAACACCAACAACCTTACCCAATTACAAAATTTTTGCATGAACGGTGACTACTGCAACCTTCAATCGAATAGTATAAAAGTTGCATCTAACCCAGAAACTGCAAAATTAACTCAGAAACAAAATCCTTTATTCCTAAATAAACATTTGCATGTTAAATTATTCAACTCAACTTAACAACAATTTAAATTATTGATTAAACTTTAATTAACAAACACAAATTCATTTTCAACAGAAGAACTGAAATGCTAAACAAAACACATTCCCAACTCTCAAATAACCTCCACACGGAAGCAATCAAAGTGCTTTGACACCAAAACTTGTTGGCCATCTAGCGCTGAACAAAACCATTACCAAATTGGCCACTATAGCATAAGTGTTATATTCCAATATTTCTAATTGTTCTGCAATCCAAAACATCATCCAACATTTTCTTTACAGGCCTTCCTACTTATGCAATCACATACCAAGTTTAGAACTTGTAGATATTAACTAGTCAAGTTTCTCCCTAGTTCTTCACTCTATAAACTGAGATAATTATGTGTAGGAATGTTTACAATGTGCATCAAAGATGTCTTGACTGTTGTTCCCCCTCACATCATTCATCCAATACACAAGCATACACACACACACAATCATCAAACTACAAATTAGTTTGTAATTTACAATTACCATTAAAAGCTTGTAGGACACTTTACGCATATATACACAAACACCAGAAAGAACTATACACAACTGATCTATGAACTCTTTTACACTCACACACACGGTGAAAAGTATCCTGTAACTAAACCACCACAGATGACCCAATCCAATTATCACAAAAGTTTGCTATCATTCGCTATATAATCTAATCCAAGCATAGACCTTGGCAACATAAGGCCTAGAGGCATGCCCTGCAGGCTCCTACTTGCTCATTGTGGACAATAGTCAATGTACAAAACAAAAACAAAATCACACATACACATTAAGCACATTCAAATAAAGAAAATAAAAATTTAGCCATAAAATTAGCTATAGATAGTGGAAAATAAACTTCATATACCAACAACACCAAGTTTGTATACACAAATACAAAATAAGTTTGGAAGTATGATTAACTACAACACCAATTCAACTAATACAAACTTCGCAATAAACAACCCAAAAGTCAGTGGATACAATATGTTTTACATTTTAGGTTGGTAATGCATAACTAGTTTCCAAATTTCAGGCATACATATAATAATGCATATATCTGTACACAAATAGACTTATCAGAATTCGGATCTTCACCAAGTCTAGATTCCGGCAATCCTCTATTCAAAACGACTCCCATGAATCTAAGTGAGACGAATAGTATTCAATTAGGCCTCCCACCCATAAACAAAACAGGAGACGAATCTACTCCATAATATCCACACAAAAATACCGCAAATTAAGCCATAATGGAACATGTATCAACCCACTTAACAAACCATACAAATTTTCACATACCAACAATTCTCAGTTCATATAAAATCCAATTTCACGTTGATTAGTAGCTACATCCTCAAATCCACGAGACAAACCTCCAAAAAAAAAACAAACCCAGAAAAACCCACATCACAAATTCCACAAATTTAGTACATCTTCACTTATCTTTGGTGGAAACACCATATTTCTCCTGCAACTTAGTGAGTTCCTCCTCTTTCTTCCTCTGGTCAAACTTCTTGCTCATCTTGGCCTGCTGGTAATACAAAACAATCAAATACCTGTTCGCCACATTGAAGCCCGATAGATGGTCCACCGCCGTCTTGGCATCGTAGATATCCTCGTACACCACGAACGCCGTCCCTCTGGTGTCCTTGTTGGTTCCGATTCGAATTTGGCGTATGGCTCCATACTTGCCGAATATATCGTACATCTCCTCGCTCGATATGTTGAATGGGAGATTTCGGACGTAGAGGACTCGGTTTACCTCTGGTGGAAGGCGAGTGTTGCTCTTCCGGAGACTGATTGTCGCCATGGATTACTAAGAGAAGGTTAGGGTTTGTAGTTAGATTGATCGAGTATTTCTATTTCAGACTGGAAAGAAGGGATTTTGGGTGATTTTTCAGTGGGAGACCGGAGAGCTGTTTTGCTTTGTAAGTGGAGAAAATCGGTGGGGTAACTAACTACTAGTGGGTTGGGCTGGGCTGGGCTGGGCTGGGCTGAATCACTGTAATAATGGGCCCACACAGTTTTTATTCTTTTTTTATAATTTTTTTCTGTGGTAACAAAAGTCAATCGATTAAGAATTTTTTGTACTGAATTGGTTTGGTAAGACTGATTCAGACCCATGCAATTGGATTTTTTGGGATAGGTTTGGACAGGAATACTATGTATTTTTATCGTATGTTTTTGAATAGGGTAATGATATGTATCTCAAATTTGTAACTCAAATTTATATCCCAAATCAAAGAGGACTATTTGATCACTTTTTTAAATGAGACACATTGATCCAATGGTCCTCCTAGATTTGGAATACAAATTTGGGTTATAAATTTGAGATATATAGCACTACTCTTTCAAATATATAGATAAGATCGGAAGAAACATGTGATTCCTATAATGTGACATTAAATTAGCTGCAATTTTGACAATATTGTTGTTCGTCCGATAAAATATTTGTATTTGATGCAAAGTCACATTAGTAATTTTACTTTAATATACACGGGGGTTATTTGTAATGATGACTGTGGGCTCAAAAATTCTTAATTATATCGAGAAAAACTTTTACCAAACATGCAATTTGTTGACTCCTAGGATTAGTTTACCCAATTCATGGAAGACAATTCTAAATTCCACGAATCAAACGACCCTAAGATATTATAATGAAACTTAAAAATAAAATATCGCTTTCTAAAGATTTTTTTTTTTGTTGTTATTTTTTTTGCTATTTTGAGTATTTTTTTTGTAAGTAATATTGTTTGTTAGTTTTGTTCAATTTTTTTTTTCTTTTGAGCTTGCTCCACTCCTTCAAGTATATGCATGCTAGTATGTTATTTATATAGAATAAGGAAAATAATACATATAACTTTCAAACTATGATATTTATGTCAATTAAGTTCCTAATTTTTTTTTGTGTCAATTAAACCACCGAACTCTCTAATTGTGTCAATTGAACCTTTCTGTCTACTTTCTTTAGAGTGTGTTACTAGGGGTGCAATTTGGGTTGGGCAACCCGATTTCAACCCGAGCTCAACCCGAAAAATTAGGACTTGGACAAGGATTTTTAATACTTAGGTTGGGCTTGAGTCAAAAAATCTCAATCCGAATTCAATTTGGGTTGTGCTCAGGTTAAGATTTCGAGTTCACGGGTTCAACCCGAACCCAACAAATTAAAATTTATATATAAAGTATTAGCACTGATTTTTCATTTTTGTTCTATCGTTCTCTGTCTCTCTCATTCTCTTCCCCCCTCTTTCTGTCTCTCTCACAGTGGACTGATGGCAATGGTTTTTATGTTCTGATTATGGTTTTTATGTTAAAAACTTGGTTGAAGTTATTGGTTGTTAATTTAAGTGAATATTATGTAATATATGTATTAGGTTTAGAGCAACAAGCCTATTTTGGGCTCTACCTGAATTAAAACTGTAAATTAACCCGAAATCAGCCCAAAATCATTAACCGAATTCAACCTGAGCCAGCTCGAATTAAACTCGGGCAGTGCTCGAATTAAACTCGGGCAGTGCTCGAGTTGAGTTTCTCAACCCGAGGTAGAGTTAGGGTTAGGATTATGGTTAGGGTTAAGATTAAGATTGAAGATTATATACCTAGGGTTGACTATCCAACCCGCCCGAGTTACACCCCTATGTGTTACTCACGTAACTGTATGACACAAAAAGACTAGAGTTTGTCACTCACGTGTTCTATAGTTATTTGATTTCCATTTCTTTCCCCAATATGACATCATATGGTTGTTGCCTCTTTTTATTTGTCTCAATTATTTTGTGAATTGCTTCACAAGATGCCACCTGATGAACTTTTCGATATTTGCTCAAGGGTTTATGGTGCGTTATTTTATTGAGTATGAAACATTAAGAATTTATTTGCGCCTGTATATGTATATTTTTCTGGAAAAATGTTACATAACACAAATAAAACTCAAAAGTTAAAATTTAAATGCACATAATTCCTTAGATGAGTGTTGGATAAGTGAGTCCAAGGAATGATATATATTTGGATTGTAATTTTTTGAATTTCATTTGAATTTTATAGCACTGTCCATTTTTTTTGTACGTTTTCCTTTTATGAAATTGTATATGTTTTATAACTGTAGTTGTTATAGTTCTACGTTGCATATAAGGTCGTCAACAAAATAGTACTTATGTATGTGTTGTGCATTAATTGACACATGTATATATGGTTGGTCGAGTTATAGGCACTTCAATAGTAAACATTTGCTCGAAGTCCTTTCTTTGATTACATTTTGGATGAAAAAGCATCTTGTTTTTGTTTCTTCCCTTTCTTTATAGGATATTGGTAAGTGTGAAAGTTGAATGTTTCTGAAAATTTGTATGTTGTAGTCAATCTAGCTAAAACAAAAGTTAACAAAAGCAACAACTTGCAAACATAATAATAATTTGTGAGCTTGACACAAAATTAAAGCAGAAACATGTGCATCCCATTTTGCATAACATGGTTGCAATGAATTGATTGATAATGTGTAAGTTACAAAATTTTTAGCTAATGTAGCAATGTTATCGCCATGGAAAAATTTCTCTATAAAGCTTTCCCTCATAAAAGTGGAGGAGATCTTGTGAGAGTTCAAGTCCCATTCTTTTATATTGGTCTAACCAATATTGACTATGTTAAATCATGTCAATTTTGTTGATAACTGGATTTCTAATCTTCATGAAAGGGGGCCTCTTTCATTTAATTGTCTAAGAATGTGTTGGCATAATTGACGTCATCTTTGGAAATGACACACAAGCTGTCTACATTCTCTCTAGCAATGCTGTCATATCTTGTGATGAATTGCATTGACAATAGTAGTTTGGTAGTTTGAAGTGAAATGCTTTAGCTACAGTAGATAATGTTGAATGATTTCCCAAGAGCAACTGAATATATTGGTTGCACCTGTGTCAAAGTGATTTTTGAGTGAAATCCAAACTCAAATTTTGAGTGGGTTTCTTAAGTGTATTATAAACAAGATGATACAAAGACGCTTGCTAAAAATTATTCATAATTGATGGGACACTATGGCAATTAGTGAGGGAGTGGCACATGTCGCATACACGGTCCTCGACATCTGGACTTGTGTGTACGTCAGCGACGTGATGCACTTTGGCATTCATGGGTGAATCATCTCGACAGAACAGACCCTCCTCGATTGGCAATGCCTTTTGCACTTCGGTGTCTGAGGGGTGACTCACCTCAATGACGACCACCTTACAAGAGGACAAGCTTTGATATTGAAGATAGAGATGATTGACTAAGGCCAATATGCCCATGGTCGAGATAAAGCAACCTCTGAGTATTATGGCTTGGGGGCAAGGTTGACCTCAGTTATTGACCCCTTACTCCAAGGCAATCAGAATGATCAAAAAAGTAATTTGATGACTAATGATAGATGCGTACGGTGTACGGAAGATAAAATTCTTGACCCCTCGAATGGGGGATTGGCGAAAATGCCCTTGCGCATGCACAACCATGCCCAGGGTACATTAAATAATTTGACAAAAGTAAGAGACACATTCTTTGTTCAGCGGAGCCAACAAGGATACATTAAGTGTGACACCCCAAATTCATGGGGTCCGTTAATTTCCCATCAACCCATGGAATGCCCGTGGATACCGTATAACTCGATATCGCACCGTTGTGTCTCATTTACCGGGATCCATAATTTAACAAAATCTGGGCAGAGTCTCTTTTGTACGGGAAGCTCTATCCCAAAACACAATCTGTGCAATCAACATTTACATGACCCATCCGAGGTCCAATATAATACTATAACCACACAGGGTCCATTTTATACGTAAAACTTGACCACACCGGGTCCAATCATCATATTTATATCAAAATATGCAAGGTTATATTAAAACAGTCCATATATATTCTATTACAATTCCTTTATACATTACATGTCAAAATTTAATTACAAATCTACTTTTACAAAAAAAATGGATTGGAAGCCACAAGTCAGCTTTTCTTGAACCATGTGACCCTGATTGTGAGCCGTCCATTGGTGCATGACCCACACCTGAAATGTTTCCCGTATAGGGTGAGCCAATGCCCAGTAGAATAATCCCTACAGAGGCTACTCATCACCTAAAATGCATATGCAATGTATAAATGTAACATTTCACAACAAGTATTCCCTTCAACAATAACATATAATACAATGTTGGAAAATCATGATGCCATGCCAAGTAATGAGATGAAACTCACCCATGCATGCTATCCCGAGCCCACACCGACTCCCACAACACAATGCGACACTTACGTGTAAAACAAACGTCTTTGATGAAACACATCCAAAGATTATTTTGAAATCAACCATATGTCATAAAACTAATTCATTCTTGGATGTTTCCCATCAAATGAATAATTTATATATCAAAATCATGTGCCTTTATGGGGTATCGGATTCAGGAATCTCACCTCCGGCTCCATACGCCGTTACACTTTTCTGGAATTTCACCGCCGATAAGTGTATGAACCAAGTGGTCGGGTTTTTCACCCGAGGGAGTGTCTAGCCCTACTTGCTATACCCGACACAAGTTTTCTTATGCATGTCACCGTGCGACTCCGTAGGACATTTCATCCCACTTTCCCGAGCCTACCATCAAATACCAATGTTGGTGTTGATCACCCCATGCAACCCTACACCCACACTCATGCATGTAGCCCATGAATGTGATGTTAATTCCATGTCCATATTACAATGCATGCCAAATGACAATTTTTAAATATCATTATATACCATGACAATTAATATCATTTGCATATAATCACATAACCATTTCAAGTTCAATATATCCAAGAGCATATATCAACACTCCATCAACATGATAACACATAATACATGCTAATATTACATTTCATTCACAAGGCATAATATAAAACACAAAACATGTCCACATGATCTCAATTTCCAAGGGATTACATAAATACTTCCATATACCAAAATCAAGCCAAGATTTTATATGGATCATTCAAACAAAATAAAAATCAGAATATATGATTTTTATATAACCAATTATCTAAACATTCAAGAAATCGCAAACTAGCACTTTCTAACTACCAATTCACACTAAAATTGATCCTACCAATTTTCATAGCACCAATCATAATGAAAAAATATTAGAAATACCCAAAACAGCCCACATGAACTCTATGGACACCTTAGGTTAGAAATAGGTCCGAGTAGGAGGAACCCTACCTCTTGAAGCGTAAAGAATTTGTAGGAAGCCTCAAGAACAAGATTGAAGTCCAAAGTTTAGATTTCTCCAAAATCTTCTCTTTGAATCTTCGGTGAAAATCTTTGTTTTTGGTACCCACGCGTAGCTCTCGTCGCGTAGAACGACTTTAATTCTTGGCCCGACGAATTCCGACCGACGGAACTCCGAGAATCGGCGAAAGAAAGCTTGAAGAATTATAATTTTTTTCTTCTTTGCTCTTGGGTTTGATCCATCCGGCCAAATGAAGAGCAAATATCTGATTTTTCAGATATTTTCTCACTTTTATACCTTCTAAACACTTGGCCCTCGTCGCGCCAAATGTCGTCCTTTGTCCGGGCCCGTTTTCATCCCGAAACGATTAAATTTCGTACCGATTTAAGCTCAAAATATTTTATATGAACTTTATTTAAAATATTTTTCAAATTTTCAAATTTTTATAAAAATTTCGTTTTTAGGGGTCATCGAAGACCCGTCACCTCGAAAAACGTAAAAAATCTGACTATCTCAGAATTCGACGAAATTTGTCTGGGTAACTAGATTTCGTGAGACGAATCCAACGGTGAGGTCCGTTTCATCATCTGAGGTCTATAAAAATACCAGTTTTTTTTAACCGCACTATAATGGCAAATTACTATTTTGCCACTTTTTTTTTCAGAAAAGGTTAAAATTTTTCCCGGGTTTCACATTAAGTGCTCGAGGTCTAGAGTGTGAACCTAAGAAAATACCTGGTGTAGAGAAAAGCAGGCGCTCTGATCGAGGTCTGCACATCGAATTTTGTATCCTATACGAACCAACTAGGAACTTTTCCTCCAAGGGGACCCAACTGTCCACCTCAATCAACTCTTAGAAGGTATAAATAACACACTCAAGCTCGAAGCAAAGGTGTGCAATCCCTTGTCTAAGCAACATTGTTTGAGCAACAGTGTTCTGAAACCCTCTCTCGATTACTAACTTGAGCATCGGAGGGGTCGTGCCGGAAAAAACTCTGTCACCCTTAAAATCTTTCCACAACTCTGTAGTTGTTCGTTGTGGGAGGCACCGAGAAGACTACACCTCGAAGACGTTCCAACATTCCAGGGAAATGCAATCTCACCAAGGGTGAGAGCTGTCATCTTATCTATTGTGTAGAAATCACCCCGTACAACAACTTTATTATAAAATTTTTTATATTTAAATTGTTCATGTAAAACCCACGTGTGCATCTACTAGTAGTTATGAAAAGTGAGATTTAGATAATCTTTTCTTTCTTACCAATAGTTCTGACTTGTGTTCCAACCTCCAACTAATCTTAATTAAAACATAGACATTTTTCTTTGGCCCAACCATCTCTCTCTCTCCAACCAAGAGTTTCCTGGCATAAAATGTGTGTTCTATATTATAGCAATTATAGTATGTGGCAAATTATTCTTGGATTGTCCAAATTGAGACTTGCATATAGGCCAAACATAATGAGCTTCTTTAGACTCTTCCACATCTCCCCTCATCTACTCTTAACTGCCTTATGGAAAACGGGAAGGAGGTAAGTCTAGATTTTTATTCAGAAGTTAAATAAATCAAAATTCTCTTCCCCTTTGAATCAATGTTCTAATAACTTTCATCTTAAAACTTTTATTTGGTCAATGATCTCTTGAGCTGGCTTTATATATTTTCATTATAAAGGTATATATCTTGAACAATTCTCTAATTCAATTTTGTATTTCTTATTTTTTTTTTCAAGATAATTCTCTTATGATGACGGGATGCTCATTTATTGAACCCTAATTTTTTAATTACTTAGCAAAAAAAGAAACTATATAGTTTTTAATTATAGAGCTTCATCAAATCTCACCATTTCTTTTTGGTTACTATATAAATTTTTGTATAAACAATGTTTGATTGAATTTCTCATATTATTCCTTCAAGTACTTGAATTGATTCCAAATTATCCAAAAACTAAAAGTTTGGGTGAAAACTGTTCATGAGTGAAGTAGAATTTCACGATTTCAATGCTTATAATTAGGGCGTTGTGAAACAGAACCAATAATCATTGTTCTAGGTGTGGTGGAATAAATGCAATAGTTGAGGGAATAATGAAACAATAGTCGTGGTTAGAGGTGAAATAAGAAAAACATGATATTTGATATAAAATTTTCAAACAGAGAATATAATTGACAGGTAAGAGAATCAATTGGTGTCTTGCACCAGTAAAATATGAAAGTACTTCAGTGAATATAGAAAATTGAAACTCTCATAATAGGGTTATTTTTCATGTAAATTACATTTTAACTCTTGCAATTATGTTTTGTATGTTAAATTTCTCCTAAATTGTCACATTTCTCACCTTCTATCTCGATTGTTATTTCACATTGTTCCTTATTATGTCCGTCATTAATTGAATGAAAAGTTGAATCATTTTATACCCTCGAATTATATGCATTTGTTTCATTTTATCCCAAAATTTTAATGAACATGAATATTTCCCCCGCAAAACATCAATTGTTAGGGCATTATGAATCCACGTCTAATCGATAATAGAATAATATGAGAAAGTTGATAATGAAGGGTTTAAAGTGAGGTTGAGGTTACAATGTAAGAATATGAAGTATAATTTGCTATTCTTTAACATACAACAATGGAGGAGGAAGATTCAAACCTAGATTTTTCAAATTGTCACAGCTGATACTTTACCATCATCATCAGAGAACAGTGATCCTGACACAATATAGTTATATGTTGCTGCATAACCATTTTTTTTTATGTAGTTATGACATATAGTAATGACATGAATAATATACTCTCACTCACTCACTCACACACACACAACCCCCTATATATATATATATGATTTTTCAATTATTCTTTCAAACATATCAAAAAACAAGTATTATATCTTGTAACAAATGTCCAATCAATGAATATAACTACAAAAAACTAACACACCTCACCTGCCAATACCTTTTCAGTTTGAATGTCTTAAGAATCATTATTGTGATTTTTTTATTTTTTTTTGGTGTAAAGCAACTCTAAATTACTTCATGTTTTGTAGCAACATGCCCCCACTTCTTCTATAACACATTTTATTTTTACAAAAAGAAAAACAAAAGACAAATAGTAGTACGTAGTACACAAGTCTCCTTCTTATAACAAATTCTAGAAGAGATAAGTGATTAGTAATCTTATCCCACTTTGAAGAGGTTAATTCCTAAATTCACATTATATCATTTCGGTAGACTAGCATTTGCCATCGCTTTGGTAAATAATTTTTTCAGCATTTAATATTTTCTGTAACTATAGTTGAGTTGTATTGGTCAATGTGCGTTGACCAAGGGTATATTGACTAATACACACTTAGTGTTGTTGTACCGAGGGAATGACAATTGTGGGTGTTTAAAAATAAATTTGACAGTATACTTACCGAATAAACAAGGAGATTCCGCTAGACAACTAACACTCAGCTTAAAATTTTGTCAGATCCAATATCAACATGAATCTTGAAAATATACGCATAACTAACGATGACATAAATCTGATTCGTTAACCTTTTTAATACCTCTATTTTGCAGAAAAATGAGTGGATGTCTGTTCCTCAATTTGGAGGATGGGATCAGAAGGCTGGAGTCGCTACTGATTATTCCATGGTGTTTTCCCGAGCTCGGGCTAACAGGAAGCAGCACAAAACTGAGTTGAATCGTCGCAGCCTCGGAAATGAGCAAGAGCTTCTTGCTAAACAGCAGACTGATGATTCTGTCGTGGTAACACACTATTCTTTGCAACTTTTTTATTTTTTATGCAAAATTTTCAGTTTACAACCAAATTATTGTCTCAACAAGACCTCAATTTAGTTCGCATATTGAGGTTTTGCATTTTCGAGAATCAACTAATCTAAGCTATGATAATATTGTCTATCACTTATCTCTCTCAGACTTCGCTATTTGATGAATGATTTTGTATATTGGATTACGGTAAGATTGGATTGTATTGGTCTATATCCACTTGATCAACGCATATGGATCTTTACACGCTAGTGCAAAATACTCCGATCTATGTATACACTAAAGAATTAAATTGGAAAGAGAAGGCTTGAGTAACTTTCATTCCCTAGTTACATAATGTTTGGAATTTTCTTGTATATCATTGCAAAATAATACATTCAATCAATTCTACCACATGTTCTATGCCATCTACATGTTGCCCAAAAACAAAAAAAAATCTACCCCACTAACTTTTACTCATTGTTTTTTTTAAAAAAAAATATTAATTGTATCTTACCGTAGTTTTACTATTATTTTTTGTCCTGTAATTTAATTACCAAGTGATTGGAAAAAGAGCGAGTATTGGAGACAAGTTGTATATCCCGTGCATTGCATGGAACAATCGTTAGTATTTGGATGCAATATACATCATGTAAAATGGCTGGCACTGTTCTTTCTAATCTTTTTGACCTTATCTTGTGTGCAGAGGAAAAAGAAGATTCTGACCTACCTAAACTGTTGTATTAGGGCTTGATTTCCAAAACACAACCCACCCTTCACATCTCTGATAATTGTAGGGGGTACTGGATTCACTCAACATTTGCTTCTCTGCCTGTGTACTTGTAGCTGGGGCAGGTCCTAATCAAGCTCTGTAAACTCTCAGAAAGATAAATGCACCTTCTGTTCTTAAATTGAAACAATCTGAATTGATTCTTCCATTTATTGCTTTTTATGCATCAACCATCCCTCCCCTTTAACCAATCTGTCAAGCCAATGCCCCCACGACAACTAGACACTGGCATGAAACCTGTCTCTATATCTCATACACATACACATACACATGCACACGCGTACATACACATTTTTTTTCCCTGGTAAGTCATACATACACACATGGACAAACAAGCAAATTTTTTTTCCCTGGTAAGTCATACATACACACATGGACAAACAAGCAAACCACACGGTGGAGGTGATCATGGAAGCATTGTGTTGCAAACAATTGTTGCTATGTGGTGAATCAGTGGTGGTGAAGAGGTGAGAGGAAAAGAGAATATAAACAATTCTTAAATGGCTCCGATTACCAAATGTAACCCATATTTCAGACTGTTAAGATCTTAAGTATGCTTGTTAATCGGGACTATTTCGTCAACAAAAAATGTGGGGAGGCGGATGGCGCGACCACCCTATAGCAGGGAACATTAGCAACCCTAAAGAAATTGAATAAGTAACTAAACTATTTGTTGTATACAAGCAGTTATGGAAACTTGTTACAGACATTGTGTTCTGAGTACAATACCTTTTCCACGAGGGATGGAGGTCACTGTGATCTCCATTTCCTATCACTTATTTCACATCTAAAGCTTAAAGAGCAAATTACTGTTGCCTTTTCACTAACAGTCTGTGGAACAAGTAAAATAAGTTGTACAATTCAAGTTGTGGCTTTGTATCGTTTTACTGGAGCTCGGAGGGAATTGAGGTAATTCCCTTCTGCTTTGTCAATTCCATCAAAGAGATAATTGTAGGGTGGCCTTTCAATATATTTGCCAGAACCAGGAACAACCTTCAGCTTATCATTTTCCCACACAATCCTTCCTCCGGCAATGGTTACTTCGACCTTTCCCTGAAACAATAAAACACAATATCTCAGAATCTAACATTGCATAAACAGATTTATACTCAACTCGACAAACCTTTCATCACAACTATTTTGGGTCCGTTACATGAATCATCTCCCTCCATTGTACTCTATGTAAGCCTTGAGCTATCATATACCTTTTTGCTAATTTTTTTCCTACTTCTACCTATCACAATACTGTCGACATGTATCGAATCAATCTTCCTCACTGATGCATTACACTGTTTTCTATAGACATGTCCAAGCCATCTAAGTCGATTCTCTCTTAATTTATCTCATATTGGTGCTACCTCTGCAGTTTCATGAATACGCTGCATAAAACAGATGCTTAAGATTCGGAAAGGTAAGGAATATTGTCAGGTATAAAAAGACCTGAACTGAAATGCAACAAAATCATTTGCTCAAGAGGACCAATTTTTTCTAGGTTGTAACTAACACCATCAAGTATCATGACGATTGCATATCACTTCTACTTCATCCTTTACCAGGCAAAATAAAACTCACATTTCAAAACCAACCATTGCATAGAGCTGATGCATAAAATTCTAAAGAGGGAGGAATGTTTTGGGGGAGAAAAAGAGATGGGCATCCGGAAGTTTAGACAGAATTGGAAGTTTTTCTACATTGTAACATCACCAAATGTCTTTAATGTTACACATGAATTTTGGTTATAGTATTGATGAAGCACTGTGATGGCAAGGCAAAGTGCATTAAAAATATGAGATGAAATGATAAAGTCAAAAAGTAAACTAAGACACCACTAAGTGAGCAATGATCATAATGTGTTCTGAACATCCAGAATAAAGTGAAATTATCGAGGCTAAAAATGAGATTAATAACAGAAAAAGAGATTAGGGAAGAAAAACGTTAAAATATGAATATCACTCAGTACACCTATTCATAAAACAATTCATTTTTGTTAAAAGTACCTTTAAATCATTAATCCACATATAACATTCAAATTTTGTTGCAACGATTTATGCATGGATGAGGAATGTACTTCAGAGCAAGCTGAATATCAACAATCTTGACCATTCAGGTTATGGCCAACCGTTTCAATTAGAAACTATAATGCAGACGTCCATGAATCAAACTGAAAACAAACCACAGGCAAGCTTCACGCACAATGATAGGGGAATAGGGATCAAACAAAGAAAGCACACCACTCATACAGATGGAAAAAACATCAAAAGAATTGCAAAAACAATCAGACACAGCAAACAGATTGCCGTTTTTTGTAGTAGTTTGTGCATATTGTACACTCAGAATTTATAATTTGTTCGATATAAATTTACAACACAATTGAAATGTCATGATTCCTTTCTCGTGTCACATTTCAAACAACATTATTTATTTGCTAGTTCAAAAAATAAAGACCAAATAACAATGACAAAGATTACCTTTCCTCTCCTTCCCTCAAAGACGTTTGTGTCTAATCTGGAGTGGTGGGAACTTGCACTTATTTCGAAGCTTGAATTTGGGTTGAGTATGATTATGTCTGCATCTGATCCAACAAGAATTGCCCCTTTTCTCGGATACATGTTGAAGATTCTAGCGCTGGAAAATATTCCAATTCAAAATCATTTTTCTATCAAAATCTAGGCAGTTATGTTGGAATCGAAAAGTTATGCTTGGGCTCTGTAACTGAAATCACAGACATATCAGAGATCACTGTACATTGACGACAAAAGCATACCATTCAGTGCTTGTTAACCGAACATAGTCCGTGACAGATATCTGGCCTGATTCCTAGAAGGAGAGTAACAATTTAAGAAGAAAATAAGCTATCTGAAGACTAGGATCTGATTAAAACAATATAGTTTTCGCTGATTGAGCTACAAATCCATGACAGCTTACCACCAGCGTATCCCAAACCAGATGCATCCTCTCCTCAATTCCTGTGTATGTCCCCAATTGCCACATGTATAATTATTTAGAGACTAGAATAACCTAAGTAATCCCCCTGACTAAGGCCATGGTAATTGGCTTTCTGTCTTAAGGAAGCATTAAAACAAGTAACATACCATTAACACCATTCGGTATTTTCCGAAAATCGTCAATTCCCATAGCTTTCTGTGTCGAATTGAAGACACAGTGATCAGTTCCTACAAGCTGCAGAATGTAAAGCATCGCGGTAAGTCAACTGTAGAGCAATGGAAAATAAAAAGTTAAGATTATGTCACAGGTAATCTGAAAAACAAAATCCAGAAAATAAAGAGATAGCTTTCACAAAGCTTAGAGTCAACTATTATATTGCAAGAAACAGCATTCAGAAGAAATAATGTCTTTTTGACTAAAAGTCACTTATTTTGGAGTGCAGATACTTTACCAAGGCCCAAGTATCCACATCCAATACGCAATAATTATGGATAAAGGCCGAGTACCCACTATCCAATACCTAACGATTATCGATATGCCTTGGATATGAATAGATACATACCAGATACGGCCAGCAATGCCTCACATATTTTAAAAATATTTTTCATTTTTGGGTAAATTTGGGATTCGCTGAAGCTACACAACCAATGCATTTATGATACACAGGAATATGCTAAGGCTATAAATGCGATTTTTGTTTTTCAAAACGGGATATTGAAGTGAATAAATGAATTTAATAAAATAAGTATTTTCTAAAACAAACTATGAGACTTATTGTTCAAAGAAAAATTTAATTTTGACCTCAAAATAGCTGATCTGTTCAGATTATTACTTTTTGAACAAGGCCTTTTTTTCTTTTTGAGTAAGTAACAAGGCCTTCTTTTAACATATCATCACTTTCACATTTAAAATTTGACATGTCAAGAAAATAAAGACAAAAGACCAACTTGAATATTTTATAACAATTGGTTATATATTCAAGATTTTATTTGGGTTGCCAAATAATGAAGTCTATATTAGTTTTTGGTCAATTAGCATTTATGGATTTCTTAATCATATCTTACACTATCTATTATGCTATAAAATAGGTTTGCATGCATGAATTATTTTCCTGATATATATGTATAAACCATTAATATTAAATTCTGTTGTTGAAAGTCCTAAGTCACTTCTAAGAACATCTATGATCAATTCCCAGTCTTTTCAAAACTCGACCCTAAGTCAGTATGCAGCCCATAGTGCAACTAGGGAGTTGCCCATGTGTCAATAAAGTCCCAACTCCCAATTAATACCTTCACATTGCTTGTGGGTCAAAATAAAAACACTATTTACATTATGGTGAGAGCAAGACCTGAAGAACTCCCGCTGAGAGGGCTGCTTGAAGAGCCTTTCCATGTCCTGATGCCCTTATAGGAGGACTCATCACGAACCTGATGAAAAAGACCATAATGCTTCATATAGCATCAATACTTATCATGAAGCCAATGTCTAAAAAAATTAACTGAAGAAAAAGGATAGGCCCTTGCTTTGCAGCTGTAACAAAGTCAGGATCCCATAGGCCAGAATCATCAAGGACTAAACCTGAGACTACTGGCTCCCCAACAACTCTCTGCCCTGCAGTTTGAAAATAAAAAATGATATTAGAAATCCAAAAGTTTACTACTAATGAAAACCCTATTTCTACAAAAAACATATTGCATTAAAGCTCTATTCATTGCATTTTGGTGCTCCAGTGTTTAAGAGCCACAACTTCAGCACAAGCAAGTGACATTTTGAAAAAAAAATGCATGAAAAAGTAATGAGATATATAAAAAGAGGTAAATTGACACTTTAACACATGATGAAGGAAATGTAAAACAAGTCCAGCATAGTGGTTAGTCTTTCCTCCGGTGCCAATTGAACTTACAAAAAAAGTTCATTTTTTTTAAGTGAGGGTGGCGTGTCATTCTGGTGCTACTTCAAAATTATCATTGTTTTATGAAAGCAAATCGTATCAGAGATAATCTAAGTAACCCTAATTTGACTGTTTTGTTCTTTTTAACGGAATTTAATCTTCTACTTCCTTAGCTATTAGTGATAACCATTGGATTAATGGCTATTCGCTCCAACATGCACATAGCACATCAAAAATTGTTGATGGAGAAACATCATCACGCCTTGAATAAATACATAAGTAAATACACATACTACTAATAGGGTAATATAAGGTATTACTTTGGTGTGACTTTCATAAAACTAAATATAGACTTGAGGCTATAGTGAAAAGGTTATAGGCTGAAGGTATTCAAAAGAGTAAATTTGGAATCTCGGAAGACTATTTCCTTAAAAATAAAAATTATATGGAAGTGGGGATCATGGAATGTTGCTCATGGAGTGGAAGTAGGATTATGAAGTGAACTGTGCCTGCAGTACTGAATACACCTACCAAGTTAATGAAGAGGATTTATGAAATGGGGATTAAAGGCTATGCTTTATGATGTGGAATATTCCATGAGCATGGAACATCATGTTCGAAAGTTAATGCTAAGAAAAGGAGGCTATCAAAATGATTGACCCGATACAAGAAGAGACGATAGAACAAGAAATAAAATGCATTAGTGACAAGTTAGAAACAGAACCAACTTGACGATAAAATTTTGTTCAAGGTGGTATGACCATATGCAGCGAAGACCACTTAATATAGTGGTATGGTATGGAGGAATAGTTTGGTAGTAATAGATGGCACCATAAGCAGAAGCATAAGGTGAAGGAGAATATAAGTCAAGGCAGAAAAACAGACATGGTTGACAGGAACTCAATTGACACATGGTTCTAGATACAGTTGACTGGAATTGAAGGACTTTTGCAGCCAAACCATGTAGTTTTCAGACAGTTTAGCTGATTAGAGCACAAAGGTAAAACTTGCAATAAATGCTCCACTTTTGTGCATTATTAAAGCTCTCATAAAATTGTCAGATCAACATGTATTTCTATAATTTAAGGAGCTTGAAACCTGCTTTTCGAGCTCTAGCTATTTCTTCCATTGCGTCGATGCTCATTACATGAACGATATACAGAGGCGTGTTTACAAAACCAGCCAAACGAATAGCTCGAGCAGTTCCCTCTCCTTCCAGCTGCATGAGCATTAAACTAACATACTAATTATTCAAAAGACAATACTACAAAAACTGTATCTGGAAAAAAATGATTTGAGAGTCTTGAAGCACAGAATTCAAGAATAACCTGCTCGAAAAATAGTAGTCATCAATCTGAACTCAAACTAACCCGTTCTTTTGTTTATCACTCAAGCATGGCATAAAAAATGAAGATAAGCAATCAATTGGGCTGATACATACCCACTTCCATTGAATTGCATTCATTGTTCTGGAGAAAAATATGGGAGATGGATGTGGAAAATGTTATTTGGATCTAATTTGTTGACTAGATGTATCATAGTGTCATTAAATTGATAGTGGGTCCCAACTAATAATAAGATTCACTGTCAATCTAATGTCAGAAAGTGATTAAGTCAGCAATCTAAACTCAAACTAGCAAAAAGAGAACTGGTGAAAGGGGACAATTCTTAACAATTCAAATTAAAGGTTTTTCATGTGGGGAAATCCAGTAGTGGTAAAAATCATTGTTGTAGAAATAGGTGTGCAGATACTTTGTAAAGCATATTAACACTTTTTAGACTAGAAGAGAAAACTGCAGCTTTAAGCATGGGAGATTAATTAAGCAAAGTAAGCTGAATATGGTGAACAATTGTTAGGACATGCATCCTCCACTAAGAAAGGATTGTCAAAGAAGAAAGTGCTGGCATGAGATGCATCTCTTTGTCATGCTTCTGTCACTAGAAATTGTAAAAAAAATTAAAATTAAATTCAATCAACCAGAGGATGAGAAATCAAAAAATTGAATGGAGAAAAGGAGTAGCGAATGAAGCCAGTACTTCATGCCAGTATTTAACAAGTGATACAAATAACCCTCTCCGAAAGCTAAAAATCTTGTACTAGAAAGGTTAATGTTGACTATGATCAAAATGTAGGTGCCATGTCATTTCCCCGCTATTTTTAAAATGTAGTCCTTTTGTTTGTAGTTATTCGGACAGCTCAAATTTCATGGAAATATAAAGGTGCCACACACTCCTAAATGTATGCTCTGTGTATACTTCAGAATTATTTGAGTTTAGGATTGCTGAGAAAGAGGATATGAGAAGATTCGTGCAATAGGAGGACACACTGGTTAACCCTACCTCTCTCTCTAAACTCATATGCATATATCATAATGAATAAAATGACTTGTATATCCTTGAGTGGTAAACTTATTATAATAATAGAAATACTGCACTCTTAACCCTCCCCCTCAAGCTAGACTATATCTATACAATCCAAGCTTGGATCAAATAACTATTTGACGAGTACGACTGACTGCCTTAGTAAATAGGTACAAAGCTGATCCTTAGATTTAATAAACAGTGTAGCAATGTCCCGAATGAAGGGACCATCAACTTCGATATACTTAGTTCTTTCACATAATAATGAATTACCACCTATATGAAGTGTTACTTGACTATCACCAACAACAGAAGAAGGTTGAGCTGAGGAGCCAAATTCTTGAAGGAAGTGTTGCAACCAAGGTTTTTAAATCGGGATCCTACATTGGATTCATGGGAGAGGCTAAAGGATTGGGATCATAAGATCGGATCAAAAATCGTAAAATCTTAGAGACTAAAAACATGGGACTGAAAACATAGTAACAATGTAGGATTTTTAACAAACAAAATATATAGGCAAAATGTACGAATGCTCTGACAACCATATAGAACTTAGAAATATGACTAAAACTTGAGGAACTACAATTTGGGTATGGGAGAGGGTTGAAAATCAAAGGTTGGTTGTTATTATTATGGGATTTTGTGAAGAGCAATAGCAGAATTGGCCTATTTTGATCTTAACTTTAAGAGAGAGACACAGAAACAGAGTGACCGAGATGAGTGAGAGACTGTCGAGTAAATGACTTTAACCATTAAACATCCAACCAAAAAAAAAGTAGAGGAGAATGACAATAGAAGACATATTTGGTTATGATCACTCATTGAGAGAGAAGAGAACAATTCTAACTGTTGTCTCCAATGTTTCAACGAGAGACAAACAATGAATAGAGCTTTCTTCAATAGGACAAACACTCCACCAAAATCCCAGATGTACATAGTAAAGAAAGGAAAAAATATAACAAAAACAAAAAAGAAATGCAGTATCCGCATGCAATATATGTTATTTTTTATATTTCTATACCAAAGCAAAATCTAAGAATTACCAATGGGGGCCTTGAAAGTGCATGTCCCTCTGGACCAGTAATACCAAGTTCAATCATCCTTTTCTGCCCTTCAAACACAGCATCTCCATTTTCTGCATGAACCATAGCTAAGGCACCAAGCGACTTGCACTTTTTTAATCCGTCCAACAGAAGCTCATCGCTGATCATAAGAGCACCTTTGTATGCTAGAAAGAACTTAAAAGAGTTGATACCTACAGGTTCAGAGTAACAACTAGTTCAACATTTAGCCCAATTCGAAGGCAAAGAGAGATGAAACTGTTTCACCAATGATTCATGAAGTTAATATCAAGTGACATAAATCAAATTTAATAATATAGAATCTAAAAGCAGACAAACCTTTCTCCTTAACCATAATTTCCATCTCTCTTGCCACAATTTCATCCCATTTTGTAACTGCCATATGAAAACCATAATCCATGCAAGACAACTTTGCTTTTTCTACATAGGCTTCATAACCAGCAGATAAACTCCCGTTTACAGGAATAACAAAATCAATGTGCATTGTTGTTCCGCCTGCTAATGCGGCAGCCTGACCGCTGAAGAAGTCATCTATGGTCCGGGTACCCATAAAGTCCATAGCCAAGTGCGTGTGAGGATCAACTCCTCCTGTTTACAGTACAGGCAAAAGAGAGTAATGGTAAAATATGTCTAGACCATTTCTATTTAGCAAGTAGTTGAAATTGTTACAAAATATGTTGATCCAGGTGTTAAAAATGAACAAGAACATAACAACCCAACTTTATGACGGTTGATAAGAAAAACCAGCAATAGATATGAACCAGATTGATGATCAGACTTGCGCGTAAATGCGCACCAGAATGTGTGCCTATTAAACAGAAATTTTGTCCTTAATGTATCTTCATCACCCACAAACATCACCACCACTGCCATCATGTCAGAAAAATCAATGCAAATCACTAGTCAGATCTCTCTGAATGCAAATATCAAGCCTTGTCCAAATCAAATACTAACTGTATAAGAGAATGAATCATAGACCATGAGAAATAGATGGCTCATCATTGACTCTAGCAAGTTTAGGTTGAAGTCTTGAAGAGCATCTTTAGAAGGCTGCAATTTGATTTTACATAGTGTGTAGCAAGGGAATTTCGTCATTTTCAATTTGTCCTTGAGGTTTCACCACTGTCTGTTGTTGCAAACCATTTCTAGTTTGGGTTTATTTGAGGAATCCTTCTACATGAAGGATATTGTAACATTTTCAAGCTATTTTTGATATTACATCAAAATGAATTCTGGTTTGAAAAGATCTATTAATTGGAAGCCCAAGATGAACCTTAGCAAGCCCTCTTATTCTTTCTCCTCTCCTCACCATGCACTGATAATGTTCTTGCTTGCTGTTCACCATCCTGTAATTCTTTAATCTCATCTTCTCTTCAACATTATTCCTTCCTTCTTTTTGTATGTTTGATTCAACCTATAAAGGGCGACCCAGTGCTTAAGGTTCCTGTCACTGCAGAGGCTGGGGAAGTCAGATTATACAAGTCGTTTTCCACTAAAGTAAACTACTTCACTTCAGTGGAACTTTCCATCAGTAAATCTGAGGGCAAGGCCTATAATGTATGACATATGCTTTGTCTATTTCCTCTATCAAAACAACCCACCATTTTTTGTGGCATGGGTAACCTATAATCTAAAGGTCATTATCCAGAGCAAAAGAATCGTACCTCAAAACCCCGGCCAAATTTTTTTCCCTGCCACGTGATGAAATTTGTTATCTACACAATTCTGTTGAGAGTTATATCAGATTCCCCAAGGACCCCAACTGAATCTCACTGTCAAGTATGGTTTACCAACAAGATTCTAGTCCAGCTATGACAAGGTCAAGTCTAAGATAAGTCAAACTGTAAGATTGCCAAGCATCTAAAGCTTGTTAAGGGCCTCTGTAGATGCTATTACAACTGCAGTCTTAACAAAGAAGACTCTTGTTACTGAAAAAAGTGCAAACAAAACTTCATTTTATCCAAGCCATTGATCTCAAAGAGTTCAGAACCATGTATGTCTTTTTGAATGCTTGGCTTATTGCCACTCAGTCCCTTAATTTTACTATCATGGACCTGATTTCTTCCACTATTCTTCCATCACTAAATTGGACCCAAGGCCTCAATATTCTTAACCTTAAAGAGTATACTAATCCTTGTTTTCCTTCCTTCCTTGTCACAGTTCAGCCATATGTTATAGATGTTGGAATGCCAATAAATATAATAATTGGAATTCATGTAATTTTCTAGTATCCTTAATAATTTAAGTAGAGAGGAGGATAGAAATGAGAAACTACTTTTCTCTCTTTTCAGAATCTCTCACTTCTTGCCTTTCTTCTCTTTCTTTTCCTTCACAAACCCTAAAATTGTAACAGACACCTTACAACTATAGAACCGTTTATTGTATTACTTCATAGATACATAAAGTTGAAGCCAATTATAAGCACCTTGATGGTTAGAGTAGTAGATTATATGTTGCAATAATTACAGTACAGAGTAGGGTTGAATTTAATACATTTGGAGATAATTGCAGCACGAACGATATGTTTATCAATTTGGGACTGAAAGCTTATAAGCTTGTAATTATAATCACCATCTTCACAGTGTTCATTGCATAAACTGGAGTAATTTTTAGTCAGCTCATTATATTGTGGTTCCTGGGATGTGTTTCCATTCTAATCTGGAGCAAGTATTCACTACTTTAAAGCTCAAAAATAGGGGGTACCCTGGATGAGGTTTAGTAGTTCATATATAAAATATGCATATGCATGAACCAAAATATCTAATTATAAAGAAACTTTGCAAGTGGCCACTCCACAAAGTCTCGTACTATGGCCTATTTACAAGCTGTCAAGTTTTTCCAGAATCCAGATTGGAAATAATTTTAAATAATACTGGATTAGAAATTATTTTAAATATTACTGGATTGTTATGCAATCAAAGGAAGGAAACTTCACCTGGCATGACGAACTTTCCAGTGGCATCAATAACCGTAACATCATCATCCCCAACCTGTAATGGCACTCATTAGAATTCAGATGCGCATAAAAATACAAAGCATAACGAAATAGAATAAGCATCAAAATAAAATTTTAGATAAGTATTGAAGGAGCTCGAAACATGCAAAGGATTAATGAAAAACTTGAATTCAAAGCTTCAGGGCAACTAGAAGTCACGAAAGGATGAAAGGTTACATATGGCCCCACATAAAGATGCACTTTTTCTGTGATTCTGTAGGTTTGTGGCATTTCCAGCACCTTTTTTTTTTTTTGGTGAATTCTGTGCTGCCAACTTGCAGAGCTACAAGCCCTGCAACACAATGATCTTAATATTTGCATTTAAACACAGAAGGGTTTAATGTTACCCACCTATAACAATAAAGTCCTCAAAAGGTTCATGACAATTAAGAAAAACCTTCAAAAATAAACCATGGCCCTTTTTAATGTATTCTGTCAATTGATATACAGCTTAATTCTGAATTGCATCTTCACAAAGCATTTAAATATTTTGGGTTGTTTCACAAGATAAAATTAATTTAAATAGGAGGGACTACGTGATTATATATTTCTGAAATTTGATTCATCTGAATGCAAACAGTGTTCATATTTCACTCTAATACATGAAAAATACATGTTATTTAACAAGGAAATTTTCTAGTTCAGTTACTCGGAAATTGGCATCATCATCTCTTATTGTTTCAAACTTTCAATTTCTTATACAATAATTCAAGTCTATAAAGTGGCATACAAGGGAGATTTCCAGTTTACTTGATGATGGAAGCCCAACTTAAGCAATAATAAAACAGGGCAAATACAGCTATCAAGAATCCCCACAAAGGCATCTCTATCATATTTCAAAAAAGGTGCTAGAAAGCATCATCTGGGTATTTTGTCACTCCATATCCAATCAATTCTGATCATTGAAAATTTGAAACCCGCGAAAAATTCATGAAATTAACAGTACATAATCATTACCCTTATGTTAGGCTTAACCGCAACAATGATTCCATCCTCTACATACACATCAGCTACCTCCTGATGGTGAGCATTCACAACAGTTCCACCCTTTATCAAAATCTTCCGCAAAGACGATGAAGCAACTCCACACTCATAATCACCACGTCCACTCCCAGCTTCACAAAACTGCCAACAAAATAAATTCAAAGTCATCAGCACTAACCCAATTCCTCAATTCCTCTGCTTGCCAAGAAATTCAAAGAAGAATAAGAACCTTATTGCTTTCACCTTCGGAACTTTTATTTGAGTTGATAAAAGATCGCAAGGTTCAGTAACTAATTTTACTTTATATTCCTCCATCCCAAGATTGTGTAAGACTGCATACACTACACAGACATCTGAAATTCTTTTATACAAATACAAGTCGTTTGATTGGTTTCTGAGAAATTTGGAGAAAATAAAAATACAACTTTTCACTCGACTAAGATCAATACAACTCGACTTAAAGCTCAATAAAACACTTGACTTAGTTGATTCGACTCTTTTCTATTGCAGTTTCTTTCGATTCAAAACACAGTTTTCTTCTCTCGTTCTTGCTTTCTCGGCAGCCAAACGAGAGAAAACAGCAAAGAACAAATAGAAAACACGACTTTTGAGCTTCAAAGAACAACAACAATACCTGGTTTGACTCGGATAATGTCGGAAGGATCAACAGAACAGCGATGAAACACACGAAATGGATGATTTGAGTTCTGAGAATTGGATCCATTGATCGGAGACGAAACTCTGAATCAGATGATGACCACAAGTTTGGAATAAGTACAACCAGAATGATAATGGTTGAAGTAAATTCTCAGTGATCACATGGCTTCCATCGCCTTATAGAGAGAGAACAACCAGTCACGATCAATCTAAGACTGAGAAGAACCAATGAAAGGCCCTCTGGATTTTACTCAAGAAAACTTATCCGTTATCGACAGCTAAATCCGCTTTCGTGAGCAAGTATCAATACGAGAGGACTCAAGACAAAGCTGCACAGTCACAGATATCAATATCCACCATCAACACGCCACCGTATCAACTCCACTCTAGAATTAACACATGACTCGTTTGTTATATGTATTACGAGAGGACTCAATATTAGATTGTACGATATTTTATTTAAGGGTTAATTGTATTAGCGGTTTTCAAAGTATTAGATTTATTTTATTTTATTTTATAATATTTTAATTGTATCATTTTGGTCTTTGAAATATTGAATATATTTTTTTAGAATTCCCCAAACAGACAGTGTCTAAATTACTAACATTTTTTTATTATAAACTTGTCATGTGATACTTAAATTTGGACAAAAAAATTAATTTGGATAACTCTTGACTAAATTTTTACTTAAATTTTGGTTAAATAACTACCAAAATTGTATAGTTTTGATCATAAACTATTCAAATTTTTGTCAAAACTACTTATATTATACATTTTTTTGTCAAGAGCTACCAAAATTTTGTTTAAGAGTTATCAAAATTATTTTTTATCCATATTTAAATATTACGTGACAAGATTATGATAAAAAATCATTAGTAATATAGATGTTGTCTAGTTTAGGGACCATATAGAAACATATTCAATATTTCGGGGACCAAAATGAAACAATTGAAATATTGAGAACCAAAATGAGATAAATCTCATACTTTGAGGACCTCTAGTGCAATTAACCCTTTATTTAATTGGGACCTAATATTTTATTTGGTAAGTAAATTTAATACCGTATTAATTTTAAAAATATATGTTAATCATATACTTATCATATATTTTTTGTACGATAGACTTATATTATAAAAATATTTTAATACCACCAATAGAGGTGGTATTATAATCCAATTCGAACGTATTGGTCTACACATTTACTATTATAATCCCCAACTAATAAAATCAAACTGCAATCAATGTAACAAACACTAATTGAGACTATTTTTGTTAATTTAATATTAATACAATGAAATAATTCTCTAACCAAACAATTGATTGAATTAAATAACTACTATCATCGTTTATATTGTGTATTGTCAAACATTATATAAAATTACTTATTATTCTAATACCCTATTTAATTTTGTGTTTTATTCATTTGTATTGTATTAAATCGAATTATTTTATCTAATCTGTTCATTTTTAACACGACAACAATCAAGCTAAATTAGTATTATATATTAACCGATTATTGTTTGTCCCTAAAGACACTGAGTAAAAAAAAATTGTCAATAATAAACATATTTATGTTCACACTTAAAATCAAATTCCAAATATAGAGGATAAAAAAAAAGAATTTAAGCACCAGTTATAGTGGGGTGATTGGTGGTAGTGGTGGTGGTGGGAGATGGTAATGGTTTGTGGTGAGTGCGCAACGACTATGGTGGTGATGGCAACCGTGGTGAGAACAGTGAAGGTGGTGGTGATTTTTGAATGACGATAGTGATAATGGCAACAATAGGTGACGACGGTGGTGGTGGTGGGCAGTTACGATAGTGGTAGTAGGTGACGATGGGTGCTTCTGATCGACAATATGATGGGTGGTGGTGAATAACGGTGGTGGAAGGTGTGATGGGGGTGGGTAGCAATGGGTGGTGGCAGTGGTGGGCGGTGACGATGGGTGCTTCTGACCAACAGTGTGATGTGTGGTGGCGAATGACAGTGGTTGTAGGCGTGATGGGGGTGGGTGACAGTGGGTGAGCGATGATAGGTAATGGTGGTAGGTGTAGTAAAGGGTGGGTGACAGTGGCTGGTGGCAATGATGGATGACGACGGGTGATGATGGGTTTGTGGTGGTGGGTGGTGGTGGTGGATGCTAACGGTGGGCGCCGGTGGTAATGGGATGATGGTTCTAAAAGCTCTTGACCCAACCCATGGGGGTTTTAAAAAAAATGTCTCAAATAATGATTAATTTCAAAATAATTCTCAAACCCACGCCCTTTTGAAAAAGGTCAAATGGACTAACGTCTTTAACACAAAGACTGTAGCCCACATTCAACATAAACACGTCAAACAGATTGACATTTCTATTTAAACACGTCACTCCATTTGACGTGTTTAAATTAAATGGCCTAATTTTTCCCTTTAACTATTCAATGCCTTTATATGGACAACACCTCATGACAAAGACCAACTATTTTATGCCTTTATAAGGATAACACCCCACGACAAAGACTAACTATTCAATGCCTTTATAAGGACAGCACCACACGACAAAGACTAAGTTTCAAAATCAGAAAGCTAATGCTTGAATAAATAAATAAATTAATGTTTGTTTGCATAATTATCATAACTACCTCCTAAATTTTCTCTTAGGTTTTAATTTGGTCTTTAAAATTTCAATTGTTTTATTTCAATTAAATCATTCCGTAATACCTAAAAAAAATTTAGTGATAGGTTTTCTGCCTTTTTTTTTTAGTAAAATGTTAAATGTGTTATTAAATAAAAAATTTAATTAATAAAAAAATTATGATATTTTAAAAATACATAAATTTTGTTTGTCCTATTGATGTTATTCTCCCTAACAATGATACATAAATACATAAAATTGTTTTGCTCCCTATCTGTTTGAGAGGATGAGTTTTTATTATTTATTTAAAAATTTAATTACATTCAATAAATAAATTTTGATAATTTAAAAATACATAAATTTGTTTTGTCCTACTGACATTTTTGTCCCTAACAATAATACTTAAAAATATTTTGCTCCTTTTTTTTTTGTGAGAAGATGTGTAAAACCCGGAAAAATTTTAATTTTTTATGAAAAAATGTAAAATGGTAATTTGTCACTATAATACGGGTTTAAAATTCATATTTTTCTAGAGCTTGGATGATGCAAATGACCTCACAATTGGATTCGTATCGTGAAATCGAGCTGCCCTATCAATTTTCGTCAAATTTCAAGATAGTCAAATATTGCACGTTTTACTAGACAACTGGGTGACGAATGACCTCACAAACATCCCCAAAAATGAGTTTTATAAAATTTTCTTAGAATTAGATTAAAGTTCAAATAAAATTAATTTAAACTTAAACCGGGATATAATGAATCGTTTCGGGACGAAAAACGGACCCGAACAAGTGGGTGGTGTGTGGCTCGATGTGAGCCAAGTCTTTAAATTTATAAATAGGGTTAAAAATCAGATATTTCAGTAGAAATATCTCTGCAATTCAACCCTTAAACGTGTGGGAAAAAGAGGGAGAGAAAAGAGAGAAAACAATTTTTCTCTCGTCGATTCTTGGAATTCTGTCGGTCAAAATTCGTCGAGCAAAGAGTTAAAGTCGATCACATCGACGAGGGCTACACAACCACACCAAGAACGAAGGATTTTACCAAAGATCCAAAGGAAAAGATTTTGGGGAAATCAAATTTTAGAGGTTTTGGTTGGTATTTTTGAAGTTCTAGCCTTCGACTTACGCTTCAAGAGGTAGGGTTCCCTCCTACTCCGGTTCATTTCTAGCATATAGTGTTCATAAGGGGTTGTTATACGGGCTGTTTTATGGGCTGTTTTGTGGACTATTTTGAGAATGTTTTATGGACTATTTTTTGAGCTGCTATGTGGGTTATTTTGGGGCTGTTGTGTGGCCTGTGTTTGGGACTGCTATGTGGGCTGTTATGCCGCATGTGTTTGGAGCTGTTATGTGGGTATGTTATGTTTCTATATAAATTATGCCTTGTATGGGGATTTGATAAATGTCTTGAATGATTGAAGTGTCATTTTGATGAAATTGAAATAACATGCTTGGATGTTATGGTGTGTTGAAATCATATGCTTATGAGATGATTTACATTGAAAATGTAAGTGTTGAAATGTGATAGAAATAATTCATTTTATGTCTAAGAGTGATTAACATGCAGGCGAACAAGTTTGCAAGAACACATTGCATTGACCCATGTCCTTTGTTTGAAAAAATGATGGAGGTTTTCGACGCCATGTCCCCGGAAGAGCTGATTGAAAGCGTGGGCTCTTGTTCGAGTGGTGATCCAGCACAAGACATAGATATTATCGAACTTTCTGATTAACTTTGCTCTCATGTCCGATTATGACTGTATGTAAATTATGCTTTCCACATGCCATTTTATTTTTTGGGTATGAATGCATGTGGTAGTAGTTGTTGTTCAAAGTCACGAGGAGTTTCATATGTTGTGGAATGTTGTTTATATTACGCATGTAAAAAACTTTATGGTGGATGTTGTAACCTTTTTTTGTGGAGCAAGCTGTTAAGGCACAAGAAAACAACTCTTAGCTCCTTGCAAATGGAATGACAGTATATATTTTAGTGGCAGTATATATATTGTTGTGTTGTGCATTGAGTGCTGGCAGGTAAACCAGGACTGCTGGAAAATTTTGCTAAAATTCCATTGTTGCTGGAAATTGTACTGGACAGTGAACAATTGTTTGAAGTTTTTTTTTTTTTTATTCTATGATATGTTCGTCTGTGTGTGTGTGCGTGAGTGAGTTACCTGGGAGACAGGTTCAACAGACTATTCAGATCACGTGGAACATAAAAAAAATGTTGTTAGAATTTTTTTTTAAGGCTATGTCCGTCTGTGTGTTTGTCTGTGTGTGTGTGTGTTACCTAGAGGACAGTGAACAATTGCTTGAAGGAGTTTTTTTTTTGTTCTATGATATGTTCGTCTGTGTGTGTGTGACTGAGTGATTTACTTGGGACACAGGTTCAATAGGGCATTCAAATCACGTGGAACATAAAAAAAATGTTGCTGGAATTTTTTTTTTTTAGGCTTTGTTCGTCTGTGTGTGCGTGTGTGTGTGTGTGTGTGTGTTACTTGGAGACAAGTTCAACATGGCATGCACAGGATGTGGAAAAAACAAAATAAAACGTTCTTTTGGTTTTATTCATGCGCAGGTGGTTGTACAAACAAACAAGGGCATAGATTGCATTGGATTATAAGGTTAAAATTGTCTTTTTACATTGGTTAGTTGTAATTATTGAATTTTTTAAGTAGGTATTATACAGATAATATTTGTAACAAACAAACAAAGGGAAGGATGAGACTATAATTTAAGACCAAGTATAATATACCATTGGATATGAGTGAAA